TAACGCGCGGTCAGGCCTTTGAGATTGCGGCCCGCCATTTGGATCGCCGTTCAACTGTATACTGTATGTGGCAGTAGCGTTCCGCTGAAATAGCGTTGCGACCTTAATCATGATCCCGATGTTCGGAGTGATGGTGACGCTAGTCATTTTGGCGACTTTAGCCTCTTCTTCAAAGGGCGGCCCATAAAAGCCAGAGTGCACAGCCGATGTCGACACGTCCGATGCGGTGATATGAAGTCGTTTTCGTTGCTGGCGCCCATATTGTGATAGCTGACGTTTCTGATACTTGCGCTCTCCCGGCAATATTGGGGGAGCGTTATGAGGGATGCGCGCGACCGGCGTGCTCGACTGGCGTCCAATAGGATTTAAAGTCAATGGTCTCTGGGTAACCACTGTTGGAGCGATGTCCACTGCGGTGTAAAGTGCTCCTAGTTGCATCATATCGGCATGTGAAAGCTGCACAAAATCCATGATATCCAAATCAAAGGTGGGTATCTCGGGATGATCAGCCATTCCTCTACTGAAGGCGCCTCCCACAACTCCGCCAGCGGAGTCATTGCCTCAATGGTGGAAATGGTTGAGCAATCGCGACAAGGGTCCAATGAAACGAAAGTTTGATAGCGGTTCCCTGGATGGAATGGAGATGGAAATCCGCCATATCGGTCAACGTTGCAGCTGCGGCCAACAACGACGTCGTTAATCACTATACCGTAGTCTAAATTGCCTGTGTGCTTAGTGCTGTAAACGGCGTTCGCAAACTCGGGAAACCTCCACTCAGATTTCCAACACCGGACCACCTTTTGAGTGCAAGACACACAGTTTAGACGTAACGGCCTGCCGGAACCCCATATCATGATTGCCCATGGACCCACCGGTCGACCTACGGAGCGCTTTTGACAAAGAGTGAGTTCTTAAATGTGCGGTGGCGCTGAGGTTTAGCTCGTTTGATGTAATAATCCTCGTCGGTCGGGTGAGGGAAGGATTCGCGACAACCTAGCGACATTTCATATGACACCCTGATAGCGCCTATTCAAATAGCTAATGTCTAGATTTTGCATAAGCGCAGTGATGGACCTATTGAGAATTATGTGCGTACTGCATCGGATGTATGGATGCACTCGTAGGTCAGAATCGACGCACGTGAACATCTGTCATTCCATCCGTAATAAAGATAGTCAACTTTTCGTGAGGTTTGTCAATGTCTAGGCTATGCTTGAACAGAAAAAAACCCTGTGCGGGCTGCCTGTTAGGGCTCGCCTGACAGCTGAAGACACAATTTTACTTTACATATAAGATTTTGTAGTGTGCGTTTTTGTAATTCGACCGAAATAATTTTCAGAGCACATGTTTGTCGAAATCCATAATAAATCGCTCTAGTAAGTCCATTACAAGATATTCGAGTTCTAAGATTGACTAAGCCTTAGAAGCTAACGTAAATATAATAAAGGGCAATGACGACAGTCCATAGAAATACCTTTTAATAAATTTGATTTTAATACTTGATGTCTTTAAGCAAATATAAACAAACTTATAGTATAAGTAACTGCGTGCAATTAAAACGAAAACTAGCGTGTGTCTCTACAATCTACTGCAGGTAGACATTCTATCTCATAATAGCAATGCGGGGCGCACGACTAGTATCCGCAACGATACCTTAGCCATTAAATCGACATTTTAAACCAACAAGCAACTGTTCAGTGGTATGAGATTTCACAAGAGGCGACATGTGTGACTAAAGCCCATTGACGCATGGCTTCGCATCCATCTTGCAACTAAATAGTGCCATAATCTTACAGTACAGACGACCCTTCTTCGTAGGTGGTTGTGAAATTTCCGGGAAAAACAGATCTTTAATACCAATGTGACCTTCATCAAGATGATGTCTGTTACTCCAGAATAGAGGGAAGTGCACGTTATTTGGGAAGAGATCTTGCGTCTAAAAAAGAATCGCACTCAATTTTTTCTAACTAAATGTTTATTATAGAAAGATTAAGTATTGTAGTTGTGTTTGTTATAACCCATTTCTGTTGAATGTAACCATGAGCGAAACGGATTTACGAACTTCTACATTAACCGCTGACTGGGTTGATGATCACGGTTACTTTTATAGTCCTTTTGAGAGCATAAAATGTAGGCCCCGGCGGGCTAATTCCATTAAATAATTTTCTACTAGGTTGACTAGTAGACTGACAACTAGTCGACGCACCTGCGCCAACGACTTATTCGCTCCAGGTAATGGACATTAGTATTAAAGTAGAATTTTACTCCACTTAACCCCGCTATACGAATATTTCGTCGGGTCGATTCCTAAACAGGTAAAAACAAGTTCCAAGCCTAAACAGGTAAAAATATACAACCAAAGGCTCTGGTTGTACATATTTGCATGTTTTTGGATTGAGGTTCGAGAGAATCATTTGGTTGTTATATAATCAGAGCTGATAAGTTCTTAGCTGTAGAGTTACCTTCGTCATTTCTTGCTAAATAAGCCACAACTTAGTTACAAACTGAGCATACGCTATCAAACGGCATGTTTTTTTTCATTTTAACATAAAGGTAAAAAGGCAATTTAAGCGTGATGATTTGGTCGAACAAAGCAAAATTAAATTAAAGACTCCATGTTCAGCTCGATGTTAGGACACATATCTGGGCTGCAGCCACGTTCGATTTGCGGTTGCGGACTGTTCTTTATTTTGTGACGAAAATAATTGATAATGCATCACGGATGTTTCATTCTAATAAAGTGCTTCATTTTTTATCTTTGTTCAGTTTAACAAGCTATATATATATATATATATATATATATATATATATATATATATGTATCACATTCGGCAACAGTGCCATCCGTCATCCGATATTACTTCATGTTATAACGGAACGCTTAATAGAACAACTGTAATTGGACATAATAATACATCATATGAAATGTCAGCGACTAAACTAGTAATCAGAGAGAATACTATCCAGGTTTTCAAATTCTTAGAATTTGAAAACCTGGATAGTATGTCGTTAGACAGCCGAATAAGTCAGTGGTAATGGGACGAAAAAATCATGTACCAGAAGTTACTTTATTGAGCTAATTCTGCGGAGCACTTCCGTTTTCGAAATAATGCTTAGACTGGATTTGCCTTAACCCTGCACACTGTTACCCGGTCAGAAACCCCGCATCTATATTATCGTAGTAGTAATCAAACTGACGCCATTTCCCACCAAACTTTTTGCTCGGTCGTCAAATATCAACTGCGATATATATAAACACACATATACATATATATACTATATAGTGTATATATCACATTGCAATAGTTCGATGCTGGTCGAATAGCCGACACCGAGCGCGCTGACCCTCCCGGTTAGATCGAAAGCTGTGCTTTCAAATGCAGTTAGACAACGACGTATTCGTCACGGCTCATGATGCACAGTTAATAGTGCTATATTGTGTCAGTTGACAGGTACAAAGCTAAGCACGATTTCAATATTGACAAAGGATAATTGTCTGTTTTTCATGTCATGGAGAACAAAGACTATAGCGAAGCAATCGGGACAGCCACGAATGAGGAAAAAATGGAAAATCGATTGTCACAAGCAGGACGCTACCTTGAGTTGAAAACACAGGGAGTGTCACTGGCCTTAAGTGCCATTGTTGACAACACAAACACAGCATACACTCACAACTCCCAACAATGTGATCTACTGACAGTTAGCCTATTGTAAAGATGCGAGCCATTTACGGTTATCGATGGAAAACGCCGTCGCACAGATAACGACAGCGTCTGTAGGACCGTCGAGATGAGCAATACATACTAACATGCGTATATGCACTTATACATACATCTAGCACTAGTAATCGTTGTGGTGATAGATAAATTTCATACACGCTTTCATCATTCCATACATTAGCTTGCCTAAGTGGTTCATCACAGGCTAAACCTGTGTTCTTTAGGAAATTCCAATACTGAGTAGCCGATAGCTAGTGTACGTTATCAAGGAGTACATAGTACGAGGGAAATATAAACATAAGCCATATAGCCATAGACATTAAATCATGATATCAAAATAGCCTTTACCCGTTATGTTTTTCTAAGCAGAATAATTCATCGTACGCTTAAACGGTCACGCGCCTTAAATGTAGTAATAGCATTGAGGATTATCATTTAAACACAGCCATACAGATAAAAAAATTTAGACGTTTTGGTGGGAGCGTTATCTAAACTCTGCTTAGAACTCCGCTAACTTGGTGTAGAGTCTATTTATGATGAAACTCAATAATATAGCTTCAACGCAAACTTGCAACATTCGATTGTCGCTTTGCAGTACAGCGTCTTGTGTTATCATATAGATTAGAACTATAGGATAACACTAATAATAATAATAATAATAAAGTCTGGCGTGGCTTGCTATACGCTCAATGCAAGCACTCCACTAGGTTTATAAATAGCATCTGAGCGGCTGGCGTTGATCCAGTGAAGCTATCAAGCTAGAAAAACAAAAAATCCATAATACACAACCTGGTCGTTGGAAGGCGTCGACACACACACATGCACACGGGGGTTTTGTCCGCCTATAAAATTAGAAGTTTTCAATTTAGGGTCACTATTTGTCAAGTTAAAGCGGCGTACATTGAAACATGTTCTATTCAAGATGCCTTTTAAGTATGTCAGCCGGTAGCAAGAAAACAGTGCATCTCAAAATCATGTTCGACATGTACTTACTGATTTTCTGCGCACAATTGATATAATTTTCCCGCGTACACTGGTCAATTGTTCGGTTAATTTTGCTTAACAGCTATTCGACTTAGGAGTGGAAAAGCCGTGAGTGGGATATACTTCGTAAGAGCTTTGTTGCCTAAGGCCTTTCGTAGAGTAAAAGTATCAGAAAGGTATTCATTTTTTCACGATACGAAGTGGTAGTTAATCTTCAGTTCAAAATCTTCGGAAACAGATATTTGACCTGAAATTTTGTACAGATAAACGTAAAATATTGTAAAAACTGAAATAGCTCCTCGTGGCAAGTGAACATTTTGGTAAGATCGGACGAAGCGTTCAATATTTGTTTGACTATCTTATAATGTCCTTAGCAAAAGAAGCTTTCGCTTCAAAGCACAATCCATCTATTCTAACTATAGTTATGGGTCAATAGAATTGGATAACGTTATAGTGAAAGCCTCAAGCTTTTTATATATATTTTTTTAAATTGAAATATGCCTTTCTTCTATTTCCGCTGCAGGCTGTGGACAAATATAGCTGTCGCATTCCTTTGACCTTTGCACCTTCGTTCGACGATCTTGAAGAACGAATACCTTTTGCCATTTTGTGCTTGCCTTTCTTCACTATTTTGTTAAAAATGTCACTCAGAGGAGACGTTGTGAGGTATCTTGCCACTCCAAGGATCTCGATAGCTACCGATTAATCAAAAACGACCTCATTAATTCGAGGCTCCTTTACCATGTGAGATCAGCCACAGCTTCCATCTTTCGGGTTTTCAAGTTCAGCTCAACGTAAGTGTCCCCTTTTACATCTGCCCCGGGCTACAATTGAAGTAACTTCCTTCTTAATGTTGCGATAGTAAGTTGCTACACTACACTAAGCACTAGCTATACAACGCTCTGTTTAGGCTATTAAGGCAAAAGGTACACGGACAGATTGTCTATCGGAAAATATGTTTGTAGGACAACGATAATATGTTAATCTGCCAGCATCTACTGTATTCTGGTTACTAGTTGTTGCACTTCCGTCACGCGTCGGACAGAATATGTATAGTAATATATGGAGTCCAGTTTTGCCAGTATGTCTATTCCGTCCGTCAACAGACTACAGAGGAATGCATAAACAAAACGCATAGATTAAAGGAGCAGGACTCTATAGTTAACGTCGCATTTCGCTTTCAGTCATGTGTAGGTTCGTGGTAGTAACTCGCCATTACTTTCGATCGTCGCTGCCACTGTTGTCATGTCGTAAAGGTTATCAGGCCCTTTCGGCAGACTTGCTATAACATTGAGCCAGCGCCTGCAGGGCTACGTTCCTGCCACAGCAGGCAGGTACAGCGGCGAAGGACCAGCAATCTTCGAACAAAGCTGAGTTCAAGCTGAGCTGGATTGACTGCGAGCCTGCAATAGAGGAGGGCTAGCACGCGAAAAATTAGCCAACTGTTGCAATAAAATACCGCCAGTTACAATAACCGGTGCAAAGAAAAGCATGACTGCCCAGTCTAATAGCCCAAACCCCAACTAACTATAGATAGATCCCAAACGTTGCATCCAGCACTTTGATATCACGCTTCATAAACCTTCAAGTCAGTACGCCGAAGTAGATCGAGCTAGTGACAGTGCTAACGATGATCATCCCGTTGTCTTTTTCGTCAAGAGGGAAGACACAATTCGTTGTGAGCATAACCTAGCAGAACAGCGGCTAACTTGACCCAAGCAGGCAACGTTTTTGCTGTTGCTGTTCTCGGGAATAAACGACAAACGCTGGACGCCGAACAATTGACTCCGCAGTAACGCGTCGTGTTTCTAAGCGCCGGGCGTTGCTATCCATAGCGCTGAGAGAGGCTGGAACATACAGGTCTGCGGAGCGGTTACGGCTATTGCGGTCATGATTCGATTCAAACAAGAACAAAAGATCCACAAATATTATCCTAGATCATCATCAGCGTCATCGTCGTCGGCATGAGTGTTTCCTCCAACCAGCATTGACGCCAGCATCGATCCTAAATAGTGAACCCTAGAATGGAGAGGATTGCTAGACTACTTTTTGCTGGTGTGAATGAACACCGCACCTTCACGATCATCGCAGGGGCTATTGAGCAAGGCGAAGAAAAAAAGAAGGAAAACGGTAAGCCTTAACGTGTGAACACATGCGTTCCCTTGTGCACTAGAATCCGTCTTTCCGTTTGTTGGCAGACCCGCCTGATCCTAATTGATTTGCTGGTTTGCACCTGGCTCACTCAATGTTTGCAACTAAACGAACTGTTACTATTTGTCGCAGCCAGTGCGCGGTGGACATATAAGGCCACATCAAATATCAGCTGTCAGTTTGAACAACAATAAGCTCGGATAGTTGATGGAGCGACTGCCTTTGTCCTACGTTACCATTTACTTAGGCTGGTCCCGATAGAAATTTGCTTAAGGGTAGAAATAGATCGCCTGGTGAATGCAGCGAATTAGAAGCGTACTGTTTTCATTGCTGCCGCTAATGCTAGCGTAGATACGCTTTGCCCTGTTAGGATCTAGTAGTGGGCCCTCTGCAGGAGTGGACTTCTTAACCACCGACTGAGCTCTGTCCAGCCCAGGCAGCGGAGAGGAGAGCTGGATCGTCTTTAAGGTCGTCACCTATACATGACAACTTGCGAGTGTCAGAACAACTTCTCAAAAAACGAACGAATCACTACGGTGGAGTGCGCGATGGACAATAAGCTCGTGGCTGACAACGGCCGAAGTGAAGCACAGGAAGGAGATTATTATGCAGCTAGTACCAACTACAGTTACTGCGGTTATTTCAACAATTTTCATGGTGTCATTGTTGAGTTTCGCAGTAAAAACTTTCGTAGTCTAAGGGAGGTCTGTAAGTGGAGCACTGATAACACAAACGAATGTGTAGTGGTAGACTCTCAAAACAAGGAAAAAAACATAGGCCTGTTAGATACTCCTTGGTGGCGCAAGAGTGAATTGAATCTAAAGGTGGCCAGCACGCCATAATGTCCGCAGGTCGTGCTGTCATTTCAACATCTCGCGTTGTCGCTGTTCCATGGAGTAGGCCACAGAACTCGTACAGAAGCGGCCCTAACGTAAGCAGTGGTTCATATCATTACATTCACATTTATTTTACGTGTGGGAAAACAGCCCTTATTTAGGAACTCTAAATGTCTCATGTGTTTGTTCAGGATCTACAAAATCATATTACAAGTCCTTGATAGCTTAGTACACAAAGGTTTTATAAATTGTTTAAGATTGTTACTTGACTCATTTGTAAGGAGCAGCCGTGTAGCCGGAGTTCGTTGAAACTTCAATAGCACCTAGCAACTATTAATTATATTTTTTTCAATTGATTTTTGAAGAGCAGACAAAAAATTTGCATGCGCCTTTGGTATCGATGTCCGGTACAAATTTCGCCCAAAAGGTACATTGTACGCAGCCTCACTGGCTTTGGTCTGGTAGAAGTCTGTGTAACAGACAACCGTGTGAAATGGATTAAAGTTAAGAATTAAAGAGATAAGTTAGCTTGAAACTAATACAACAATATTGTTTGGTATGCTTTTGGCCTATGTCCTCATTCTACAGGAATGCCGTATTGGACAACCGCATGGTCAACCTTCGATCTTTCTTCACTCTTTATCGAGCCCAACAATAACCAATAGCAGCTCGGTCTCTACCTCGAGTTTTGACACCGCCGAAGCTGAGCCTGCAGAAGCACTGTATGTTTTACAGAAGGACTTCATTCTGTTTAAGCATTTTCCATTTTATGAAGTATTCGAATTTTGCATCAAAACTTCACAACAAACCAGCGCCAACAGTATGTATCATAGCAAATTAGCGAGTTACAATCCATCCACTTTAGTTCAAACGCATGAAAAGTGATCAGCACGATAGTGACTTTTGATTAAATTTGTACATTACACATTTTTTTTTGGAATTTTACTCTTTAAAGTACTATAGTAATGAGACTTCATATACGCGTATATTAAATATTCTGTCTTCTAGTTGTATTAACATAAAATTTTGCCATTTACCACTACCAACTGGTGCCGATTAAACCTGTACTTACGAAAAAGGTATAATCTTTATCCGAACTTCGATCCAAAACTTTATCCGAACAGTGATTCCCAAACCTGATCGATACTTTTGGCAAAATAATTTGCAAGTTCTCAGGTCATTACAAGGTCATTAGCACAAGTTACCTACTTTTATCTTTACCATTTAACTTCGTAGCATAAAATTCACTAAAATAAAAATAAGATCGGATCAAAATTACTCTTAGTCAGTGTCCTTTTCTTACGTGTAGTGACGCAAGCAGAAGCGACGCGATTCATTCATAATCAGCCTACCTTTTCTACTCCGTGGAGAAATCCATTAAGTGTCTTTGGCTGCCACGTTTTTTGTAAGCTGGCATAAAACTCAACTAGCATTAGTACACCAGCGATATATACAGCAGACGCTGCTGTAGACTAATCTGTAGTAATGATAGGCTCTCGACAGCGATTTTCTTCTTTCACCCTTTCCGTCCGAATGGATATATGTCAACTCCGCAGAAGATAATAGCCGACGACGGCCGAAAAAATTGACAGAAGCAAGATTATTATGCAGCTAGTGTTAACTGAAATTACTGCGATGTTATTTCTCGGTGTTATCGTTGAGTTCCGCAGTAAAAATTTTCGCAGTTTAGGGGTGATCTGTGAGTGGAGCACTAATAACCCAGATGAACGTGTGGTGCTAGACCCTCAGGACAGAAAAAAAAGTATAGCTATTAAATATCCCGCAGTAACCCAAAAGTGAATTGAGTCTAGGGGTAGGTAGCCCGCTACGATATCCACGGGTCGTGCGACCACTTCGACATCTCGCGTTGTCGCTTTTCCACGGAGCAGGTCACAGACCTCGCATAGGGGCGGCCCCAGCGTAAGCAGTCGTTCGTATCACTACATTCATGTATCTACTTTATATATGGAAAGGCACCCTCTATTCAGAAACTGTATATACTTCACATGCTTATTCAGGGTCGACGAAAAATTATATATATATATATATATATATATATATATATAGGAAAGGGCACCTAAATTGGAACAAACTTTCGCAAGCTCTTTTTTTAACAAGCATGCATTTATTCGCTACTCTTGGTGCTAAACCAAAAACAGGTACTTTTTAGAACACCACAACAAATTCATTATGGTGAATAACAGCGCGTCATTTTTGAAATTTGAACGAATTTCAGCTATTATACAATGTTTATACGCCGGACGAGATTAAAGACTTTTTTTTGGACCAAAATCACGACCCTACACGTTCTTGCAAGTTTCATGCGGTTCTGTAAAATCCGAAAACGATTTTCATGAGGCAAACCAAAAAATCTCTCTTCATATAAATGGCTCAAAAGGCCTTTTTTTTTTTTATCAATTTAGGCATCTGCTACAAAAAGCTGACAGGCTTTTAAAAAAGAGAACATCAATTGCCAATTGGATGGTATAGATAGGATTTAAAGGTTAGACTTCTTGCATACTTATAACTTTTTAGCCGCCTTGAGCCCCTGCATTTTTGGGAATGCTATCAGCCTAAAGATTTATTCCGTTCGACTTTTTTACATGCAGCGTATTCGAACGATACTTTAACGAATTTATACCTATCAAAATTATTTGACGTAGAATTACTGTTAGGAAGCTATTTGCAGATAAAAATAATATTTTGAAAATTATTAAGCAGTGGTTAGGTTTTAAATTGAAACTGTAATTGGTAGTTATATTCAATAAGTTTGGCGGTCAAGACTGACAGTCCTAACACGTAAAAAAATTCCTTAAAACATTTGTCTTTATTTAAATACAGTCTTATAAACGGAGTATCAAAGGAAGTCTTAATTTAGGTATCTTCGAAAAAATTTTCCCTCTAATCATTTAGAATCGATTCATTTTCATTGTAGCATTTGTTTCCAAGGGAAGTGACTATATTTTCTCTCATATGATTGGAAACCATTACAACTACACGCATTTATCTCATACCTCAATGATCCCTGCCAATTTTATTTTTCGGCATCTGTTAACTAGACGACTTTGTAATGCTGATAAACCTAATTAGATCAGTTCTGAATAAAGCAACAGGAAATTCATTGTTCCACGCTGCCAAATAACAACAAAAATAGATGAACGTTATTTAATAATTCAAACATAACATATTTTTATTATTTTGGCTAAGTCCAGTGCTACCTATAGAGATTACCGTGATTGTTGTTATGAAACAGACTGCTCTTCTCGTTAATCTTTCATGCTACAGTGACGCAACCAATGACCAACCTATATATAAATGATATTAATCACATTTATATTAAAAAATACTTGAGCATTAATAGCAACAGGCTAAACCGTGAATTTAAACACTGAAACTAATCAGTAGCTTTGGCGATGGCGAGCTGAGATCTGTGATGCGAGCGACCCTCTAAATATTGCTTCACGATAAAATTATTAATCTATTTATGCATCGCTAGATCGGCCAGTGAATACAAACGAACGTTCGTTTATTTTATGTGTTACTGAGGCCCACAGTCATACTCAGTTAATTAGGTGTACAATGATACCTAACTGTTTTTTCATATTTTAGGTCACCCTGGCGTGCCAGCTGCGCCCGTGTCTGTCCTACAGTGACCTATTTTATAATCAACTTTGTATGGATGTCCACAGGAATCGCAGGAATCGCGCTGGGTAACTTTGTCAATAAACGGTGCGTGTACCACTAACCTCAGCAGCGTGTAGTAACCCCACCGGTTGTGACACTGAATGAAGACTTATTTGGGCCTAATTACTTTCAAAGTTCGATGCAAGTCGTACAATATCATCATGCACTGTCAATTCAGTTTATAAAAGTAATCATCAATCAATAATAGTGCTGGAGTCGTGCTAGCACCCGCATGAACTTCAGTATATCATGCCAGTAAACATAAACTACAGTGGCATGAATATATCCTCTTTAAACGGTCTTGACTAACGCTTTTTGTTTATTGCACCTTTTTTCCATATGCAGATACTTTTCGATCCTCCTTGTCAGCGTTTTCGGTCTGATGGTTGCAGTGATCTACCGATTTCTCTATGACTTAGAGCATATGGACACTATGCCAAATCAACCAACAGTCGTGTCCTACCCGCCTACTCCAACGTCCCGCCGCAGCCTTCCCCCATGCTATTCATCTGTGGTACGTTCCGAGACACCTCCACCAAGTTATAATGAGTACCTTGCAATGATATGCGCGCAACAGCTGTCCGGCCTACCGGGAGGACCCCACATTATTCCCGTGCCAACAATAAGCTCTCTGATAGAAAACAGCAGAAAGAAATCGCCTGACTCTTGCAATAGAATATGTGTTTAAAGAGAAGCTTCGATCAGATAAAAAATACGGATAGCGTTACTCGTCTGGACTTAGTCTCCTAAGTATCACACCGGTGTTGAATACACAAATTATTAAAGCGACAGTTTTGTTTAACCTATTGTAGTTCAACTGCACGACAGTGAATTAGAGAAACGCTCTTAGAAACCAGTTAGCCTCTGCCAACATAAGTAGAATAAGTGAATGTGTAGATGCACAGAATGTTCATATATATATATATATATATATATATATATATATATATACCTATATATACATAAATATATACAAAGGCAATTAGTACAGAAGGTATATATGTTTTTTTGAAGTATTTTTTAATGCATAGTACTATATCGGGAAGTATTTGGACCAGTATCTGCAAGGGTGCCTGCGTCTGTCAAAAATGTTGGGAAGAAGCCGAAAAATTCGAGTCGAGATTGGGCGGCCCGGGGGAACGCTCCTCAAATCAAATCGTCCAAAATTAATTTCGAGTAAATTTATCTATTTTGCGATATTTATTTGTGCGTACGTGTTGCTTCGATTTGTTCGACGATTGTATAATGCTTCGTTTCGTAAGCCTGAGTTGACCGCCGCTATTAATCCACTGTTGGAGAGATAGTTAGATTCGTTAGGAAACAACTGTATTGAATATTGTTTGCAGTAAAATGTAATTGCCTATTATTATTTTTATTTAGGTTTTCGTTCACTTATCATTACGTTATAGAACTAATTTCATTTCGAGTTGTCCCGCTGATTAACAATTAAAGCTGCACTTTTGCAGCGATAACTTACACTTGTTTGCACTACAAATTGTAGTAAGTGTGACGAAAATTCCTTCGTCTCTGCTCGAAATCGTTTCTCTCTCTCTCTCTCTCTCTCGAAAATCGTTTCTCTACTTTTGATACGATAATATTTGTAGATGAACTATATAAATAAATATAGGGTATGTCACAGCCAATATGTATTATCAATGTTGTAGAATGTAAAGTAAGAGCCTATAATATGACATCCATTGCGAGTGGATTCGAAATTTTGGCTTCTTCTGAAAGGCTGGAAAAGATCTGAACTGATGGTGCAGTAATAACAGAAGGCTAACCGGTTTATATTGGGCACAGGCTGTTATCAACTGAGTCGCAATAGTCAGACCATTAAACACAGTACATATTTGTTTCGATACAAAACTAGCATCATAAGATGTGACAGAACGACATCTTGAGTCATTGTATATGATTTTTTATTTATACAGTACTTCTATTTTCGTATCCTGACCACACTTCATCATCGCTAACGTATTTGTAATTTACTTCATTTGATAATTTTTTTTATGCGCATTTAGAATAAACAAAGCGAATGTTCAATCATCAAATAGTTATAGACTGGATAGAAGGATTATGATTTATCTAGTTGTTTAACATACCTCCACATAAAATTCTTGTGTGTCACATTGCAGATTAACTTTGAATATGTTTCAGTTGCGAAAGGTTACTTAATGTTTACTTATAACGACACATCGTGATGGCACATCAACGGAAAAAGCCTCATGATATTTGGCAACTTCGTTCAGTTGAATGAGAAAACGCTGATGTGTAACCACCGCCAGCGAAACTGCTAAGCTGCTTCTGTAATTCCGACTTTAAACACGTATCACAATCGTATTGAAAACCATTGTTGGCTTTTTTCTTCTGCACATACGATTGAATACGCAGTATCGCTGTTGGTGGGACATATAGATAAGCAGCTGGTTTTTCACAAAATAGATTAATATAGAACACTTAATGAACTGAGATAACGCCGACTACCTTTGTAATGATAATAATAATAATGCACATTATTTCTCAGTAAAGGAGCATTGTGAATACGTATACACAACGAATGTGACACTGAAACCTAAAGCTACCGCGGATAAACGAATGCGTGAACGGATGAGATCTCTAGTCATACAACAATCCTTACGTTTGGTATGATCACAGGCTATAATTGGCAATATATGATACGATGTTGTACAAATCGGGTCGTAGATAAGGTATATAACGCTATTTTAAATAAATATGACATACATAATTTCTACTTAAGTTGTTGTTATTTATATATAAGGACAAAAGCTAAATTTTTACTTCTGTATGAATTTTAAATCACACCGAGATAATCGATTGTACTATTTAGTAAGAAGTTGATAACTAGCAGTTTTCGAAAACATTAAACGTCACATAGATCGTCCTGTCACAAAAAGGCGATGATCGTGCTTCACAAACAGCAATGTTAAGGCATTTTTGAAAATTGCTCGTCGATATAGTCAGCATAATGCATTAGGCAACGATATTTAGCATTAAGAACTTTCACCTCCAAAGGAAAAATAGCCGCATCAAATGTGACCGCTAAGGCTAAAACAAATGTGTCCTACTAGAAACGGTTTCACTAAGTTACGTAGCAACCAGTCGCGCTAAAAGCTGTCTTTAGCTGTCGCTTTACAGTGCTTCCCCCAATTATTATAAACACTTGTGCCTCCCGTACTCGTTTGGCTCTGAATAGTCTAATCACTTTGTTTTTGTTAAGGTGTTCAAAACTAACTCTTTTTCCTTTAAATGCAAGCGAACATAACTACAGAGGTGTATAAGGCCCTTCAAAACGCACTCGTCACCCCACTTGAAAAGCCTCATCGTCTCATTATTGAGGACCTATGCTGTGCATTGTGTTGATGACGAGTACAAGGTATTTCCTAGCAACTCCGAAGTCTACTACAGATCTTTCTCTTATGCTATACACCAGTGCATCAGCGTTACACATATTCTGTAGCTTAACAGAATGACCCTTTATTAACCTGATTGCAGTGGACATTTGAATAAACATATTTCTTATGATTCTACTACGGAGCACCATCAGTGTTGATATGGGTAATCGAGCGCCCCACGAGTGTCTGGTCCATTTAAAGGTCTTTGATGAACACGTACATATTTGGCTGATTTCCTACTGTTTACAGTGAAATCGTTTTAATTTAATTTAAAGTAATAAGTAGAAAGAACCAACGGAGTAATGGTTCCGATGGTAGGCGCTTCATAATTTTTTACCTTTTTCTGTTTTAATGGTTATTAATTTTGCAATTAAGCAGCTCTGACACTGTGGCCAAAGGAATATTTTTAGTTCTAGATTGAAAATTCGCTCTAGTTAGAAATTTACCGAGTGGTATTTAATCGCCTCAAGCTCATCGTCAAGATAATATGGGGAGTGCATGGTTCTTGGTTTGTTTTGTTCATCTGAGCTGAGTCACCGTCTGCGCAAGTGGTGGCATTCTTGACCTAATCAGGTTAGAAAAACAGAGCGATTCGACTACAAAGTCGATTCATTTGCTAAGTCTGACAGAGTCCCGGTGAGCGGCCTCATGGATACGGTTTTTATACATATTTCCATACTGTTTTATATAAACCAGCTTATAGAAATTACATTATTATCTAACACGCGGATGTCAGGGGCGAAGAACTTGTTGGTTTAGCAATTAGAATTTTCACATGAATACCCATAGGATCAAATACAATACGTAACAGTACTATTCCACGTGAATACCAGAAGTACTGCTCAACTACAGGAACTGAGAAACCAATGCACGGCGTGTTTACGGCTTAGTGTGACTTGCTTGTACTGACAAGCAACAACAGTCAACCCGATTAATTTATAATAAATCATAAGAACTTTTCCAGGCTTCGTTAGAAACGATTTCATTCCGCTGTCAACAAAGATGGATTTGCGTGGTATAATATTGCAACGCCAGTAGAGGCGTCTAGATGGATTCTATATCCCCATTGAACGGTTCGATTTCCCGGCACAATTACCTTAGGAATAGAAGCCTGATATTGCAAAGTTTGAACAGACCGTTTTACCCGTTACCGCACGTAAAAATAACTAACTGAGCAAGTCAAAAAATCGATAATAATAATTAGAACAGTTAGCGGCTCTTGTGATCCGTCATATTGAAACACATTTTATTTACAACCAATCTTAGTGCCATGTCTAAACAACTGATAACTCAAATGCTGCTTTAAATTCTCGCGCTTGCCACCGTGTAGTACTAGCGATACCACATGTGTGTCAAATATAATCGAGACAGTGTCTTCTTTTTGTATTTTCTAACATGCAAATGAGTTTCTCTGGCGAAACACCTTCTTCGCGCAGCGTTTTCTTGTCAGGCCTAGACTACGCAATAAAATCTAGCTTGTTATCCTCGATATTCTCTGTACTAATTTATGTATTATACAAAGACAAACTTCGGTAACTTTACACTGTGAGATATTCAAATAGCTATCACTTGTCGATACGATAGGACAAAAAACCTTTTAGCTACAAAAATTTTGTCGACTTATTCTACGGCTTGGTTTTAGTATGCTTAAAAATAATGTTTAAAGATTTTACATCTGGCGCTGGATTTAAGGGTTGCTTAAGGCGGCTGGCCTCCAACGTGAAACGAAATACGTCTGCGTTAGATTTCAAACTTTAACTTCCAGGCATCCCTAAGTTGAATAAACAAATGCATTACCACTGCACAATCACGGGGACATATGTTTATTGTATTCATCGTTTTTTCTACTATGACGAAGTGAATTATTCGTGATATATTTATGCTATCGCTTCTTTACACATGACAGATATTTTCCATAAACCTTTCATCATATAGTCGTATAATACTACTGTAATACTATCACACCAGTATTAACCATCGACTTCTTATGCTCTATGTAAAGCAAGAGATCTAATATCTTGTCTATTAGGGGTAACTTATATAGCCAGTTTAGAAAGACCGTAAATGAGGATCCCACTTATGCCGCCTGGCAAACGTTTCTAGTAAAATCAAAATTTACAAGTTAGACCATATATGAATATGACTAAGTTAGTTATCCATTAAAATCTTTTTCTTCTGCATCTCACTTAAGTCTTGCAATGTGTCATAGTGCTCGTTCGTTGCATACTAGCCCATACGTGAAAGTTGGTTACTACTTACGGTATATAATCGAAGTGAAATAAAGCAGAATGCAAAATAAAATAGAAAACATATTTGACCGAGAAAAAGAATGGATAAACCAAATTGTGCCTGATGCCCTCGAAGGAATTTCGTTTGTCGCCATGCAAGCAAGTGTTTACAAACTTTTTGAAAATAGAACGTCATCTAAGCATGATTATAATAATTGTTATGATAAAGAACGTCTATGAAGGAATCCATAAATGTGCAGTATAGGAATGTGCAGGAATAGATCTTCACCCTTTATACAGGCTACTTTTGTACTAAACCCTTTCCATTACCAAAAGAACCAAAATTTGGAAAATATGCATGTCTTTGTGCACATTGTTCAATAAAGGCTAAAAAAAAGAAGATGCTAGAATGGAGTAGCTATTAATACTTCCTCGTTTGTTGCTCCTTTGAAGCCAACATATATAATACAATAAACTAAATATAAGCAAATTTTGCCCTTTTACTAGCGCTGTTCGAAGGGCACGTACTGTTAACATATATAAAAGCATTTTTAACGCGTATTTAATAGCATAATGCAAAAATATATATATAGTCAGAGTAAGCCACAAACCAAGAACACACTAGTACTACCTGAAAACAATGATTTCGAGATGCGGATCTGTTTGGCCATGTTGTGCCCAGTCATGCAGTCTTTCCCACAGTACGTATCTCTTCTATTGACATATATATATATATATATATATATATATATATATATGTGATGTATACAAGAAACTGACAATTCTATGGAGCTTTTTTTTTCGTTTCATCCTTTGAAAACAGCCCCCGATGTTCTTTGTTTTCTTTACTGCTGTATAATTTGACTGCTATGACTTCACTTGCGTAGATGCTTCTTATTGGCAACTTTTCAATACTTTTGTTGCGCCTGCTGGCACACTTATTCATTAGCGGTGAGCGACCCCTGCGTATATATTATACCGCCAATGAGCTGCTCCATCCGTAAGCATATCTGATAGGAAATTTGTGTATTACCCTTTGCTTTGTGTGGTTTGTTGATATCCCTGATTTGTTGATGCTGCCGTAGCTTCCACTGCTGTTGTTGTATTTCTGTTCCTGCCACTATTGGCGGCTAGATTTATCGCCGTTATCGTTGACGTGAACATCAAGAAGGACCTCTGGCCCTATTTAGCCACTCTCGCTTCGCGCACGGTGCCAAAAAGATGCAAAGAAAAGAAAACAACGCAAGCAAGTAAGCAAAAAAGATAAAAGCAGTCCTTGTATGTTATAGCGCCACCAGCAGCAGAAGCAAAAACGTTAGCGGGATCACTTTGTTAGTGCGACATTCGTTGGACGTAGCGACTATCGCGCATAGTTTATGGGCTCACATAGAACGACTGATCGCCACTTGGACATAATATTGGCGCTGACTGTTATGCAGCAAAACATCAGCCAGAAGCGATAGAAGAAGAAGTTGAAGAAGAAAAAGCTCAAGACGACACCTTCGTGACATGGTCGTTGTCCATATGCCAATGGTGACAATGGCGGTACCTAACGGTTGGTCAATCCATCTGGCAAAACCTCACCAAACTGGCATTGCCGTTACGAGAGCTATTTCCTGACTTCATTCCCCAAGGGCACGCAGATTGCTAACACATAAGATGAATGTGATTAACTTAGGGCAATACTACAGGGTGGAGGCAGCGGTGAGGCAAGGGACTTCAGGCATTACCTATTGAACCACTAGATACTAAGCACCGACAGCTAACCCGTTCCTTTAAGGGTTAGCCTGTGGTACATCTGACATATAAGCAGTGGGTTATCGCGTAGTGACGCTAGAAGTGTCACCGCTAAAGAAACTGGATAGATAGCGAAGCAAAAATTCACCATGATAAAGGTACTCAATAGACTCGGGAATCGTGTTGAGGTGTTTGATGTAGGGAAGCATATATACATACGACTTACGTAAAACTGCAGTTGTAGGACTTGTACTTGACAGATAATGAGACCTCAGGTTATAAGCAAATGGAATGTACCTTTTATCGCATCCAAGTGTCAACGGTGTGCTTAAAGTTGTTTTTTTTTTCTTAGCCTCAATGTTGCTCTATGTTTCACTTCTTGAGGACATTTTATCGACAGCTCAATGGACTATCTACGTCTTCGAGTACGTCCATACCTTGTGACACTAGACCCGAAAGCATTAACGTTTAAATTCTGAACTAGATCGCTGTTGGTACATTTTTTCAGATTGCACTGTTGGGCTCAGTTGCGTCGTTTGTCGGATTCTCAGCCGCTGTTTCCCGTGATCATCATTTTTCCCGGCAGACTGGCCCCTCAAATCACTTTTATCATCCACCTCAGCTTCAGCGCGTTCATGTACATCCGAAGGCCTTGGCTGATGATGCCACTGATCCTATTCCCACACTAGAACCATTCTATCCACCACAGCCGTATCAATTTGGATTCGACACTATTGATGAGTACGGCACGAAAATGACACGGCATGAAGAATCGGATGAACACAACCGAAAAAAAGTACGTTAAGAAGCCATGGGAATATTTAAAAGCGAAAGTATTATAGCTGTGATTTCAATTTCTAGTTGTACTACTGCTATTATTTCAACCGGAAACTAGATTTTCCTAGTGAAATATTGCAGAACGTATCTATATAAATACTGCAAATGATTGACTTCTTATAGTGATATTTGACACAATTTAATACTTTTTTCATAGCTTGTAAGCCTGGAACCGCTTGCAAAGCAGGTGCGTATTTTCGTTCATTGTTTCTGGCTAGTCATTTTTTAGAAAAATCTTACAATAAAAATGTTCTTTAGTCGACTTCGATGTTTGATAAATAATAATGTATCACAACACCATTTTGAAAATAAAAGACTATATCAGAAATGCTGCTTTTTCTACAGGGCTCATATTCATTCACGGACCCTCATGGGATTACGAGAAGAGTTGATTATGTTGCTGACGAACATGGCTTCAGGGCGACCATCAATACGGATGAACCTGGCACAGCACCATCGCACCCTGCATCAGCAATCATAAATTCGCCAGCGTCGCCTCCACCTGCTTTGGAAGCTTCGGCTTCCTATAAATCACCTGTCGTTTATACTCGAAGAGGACCGATCTATCGAGAAGCTAGCTACCACGTTGCTAATGAACGTCACCGACCGTACAGACATTCATAAAAGCGCCGGTGGGAAAAGACGAAAGGGTTGAAAAAGCTGAGTCCATCTTCTAAGCAAGTTTCTTGTCAATGCGGCAGGTATCTGCGAGCACTCTGAGCAACTGACTGTCCTATTATCCCACCAGCATGCTATGATGTGAAATGATGACTACGAAAGCCAAAATAAATTATATGACCGTTTAGTTATTTTTTTCTGTTCGCTAAGTACGTTTTTGATTCGTCAAGAATAGTTATTGGTGCTTGTCAATTGAAACAACACTAAGTAAAAAACAGCATTGCTGTATGGCCAGTAGTCGGTCTACTAACAGGTCCGTTAATCGATATATTTTGAAAGCATAAATGTGACAGTTTCGGCATATGCCAAACAGAGACAGCGACTGATGTTATTTAAAAAAAAAAAGTGTTACATTAATCGCTTTTCTCCTTTGCACCTTTATTGCAAAGTTACTCTCTGCTTTAGGAAAAATTATGCATTTTAGAACCTTTAATTATCTGCTTTATATTTGTTCGATTTTCATGTGTCTGCCGGTTTCGATGGTTCGTGTCTTTTCTCGGGAAGAAAAATGCGGTTTTGGTTAGATTTAGGATATATCTTTGATAAAAAAATTGTTTCCTCTTATTATTCTCATCACCTCAACTAGTGACAAAAATGCTACATACAAGATCGACTATATTATTCGGGAAAATACGTCGGTTCAGGTACGATATTTTTATGAAATAATTTAGTCACCAAACTGATTTGGCTTTTTATTGTTTTAACCTCGGAAACAAAACTCAGATAAGAAATTTCCTCGCATAAATTGAGTTCGCACAATTTTAGAAAAAACGACGGGCAAATTTGATTAAATCTGCATGAGCACGCGCCTCCAAAATATCTTCTTTCAAAGATTTTGCATTGTGTTCTAAATAAAAATTAGTAAGGGTTCTACATTTTTTAAATACGTTTATAGCACAAATGGGACAAACATCCCTATCCTTCAGGATTAGGACGCGCCTTGAGGAACAGCTGGTGAAACTTCTTTCGCACACCTGAAGCTCACTTGATTAAACAAACGATCTTTCAAAACCTGTAATCATTGAGAACCAATAATATATCTATTACTTATTTTAAATATGAAAAGAATTTTTGGTAACCTACCTTCGTGTAGACACATTTTTGTACTTTTCGCTGCTTACCTATACTTTAAGATGACATTTTTAAACTAAGGGTGCTAACCCCTACTGTTGCATAGGAAACTAACAGCATTCTAAAAACTCTTTACTAAACGCGTTTTTGTGCCAACATTTTATGCACTAGCATCTACAAGTTCTACGAGTGACTGGGATATAGTCAAAAGAATGAAAATTAAATTCAACCAGTTTTTTTAAGTTTTTTGAGCCCTTGCATAAAGCGAATCGTGTCAACGAAATACGTTGTGGATTCACCACAATGCACTGGCGAAGCTTTCGACAACATAGCTACACCCTATGTTTCAATGTCATGGACCAATAACTGATTAGCAGCTATCGAAACCTACTACAATTGATTCTGTTGAATTAACCACGAACCTAAATATTAACGGATATTTTTACATAAGGCAGTCAGTCGTTTACATAGGCAGTAAATTTTAGTTAAAGCTACAGTACCTGTGTCATAAGTCCCTGAAGCATTTCTACAGTGCTTTTGCACGCGTCCCGTGTGGCTTTGCTCAATTGACACTGTTCCTCGTCGGCGACACCCATCATGTTATCCAGACGCATTTGATTAGCTGCAGATGACAGCTTGTCGCCCAGATCCATAATTTGGCCTATAATGACGGCAATCCACAAATTTATATTGCATACAATGGCACTCTATCCGTTCAAGCTAATCGTACCATTTGCTACCCAAGTCGGTTGATTTTCATGCTTTAGTTCTTACCTGTATTGTACTCGGAGTTGGTCAGGAGAGTTGAACTGCTAAGGGTATTAACCCAATACTTATTCCACAGGTTATCAAGAAGACTTGCATCTAGAGAGCTCTTAAAATAGCTTACATCGAGCGAATAATACTCTCGACAATGTACACCAAAGTCCTCGATCTTCGACAGTGGAATGGTCTGATACTCTGACACACCGTTATCTTGAGTCTTGAAGCCCTATTTGACCAGCACAACATACACAACAAGACGCACTAGTCGATTACTTGATTCATCGAATGTGCTATGGTACGCTATACATCATTGTATGCACAGATTACCTTAAAAACAACACGTTAAATATGAAAATGTTCACTATTTCCAAATCTGTAGAAACCATCCTAAATGAGGAGGTAAATTACCTTTGGGTAAGTGCGGAAAGCCCCGAGGTTGACTTTCCCAGCGGAGATTGTTCTGACCGGATCAATAACAATAGCAACAAATGGCTCCTGAAATTGCTGGTTCATCATCTGGGTTGACACGTCGATTCCTTATAATCCCAAGCAAACGAATCAAAATATAAGGAAACATTTCTCTAAATTTTGTTTTCTATTATTTTCTGTATTTACCCCTTCAGTACAAGCTAACTCCCTTAGGGGTAATAGCCCTTGAATGGGCAATAATGCCTGTGGTACGGAAGGAAACAATGACAGTTCAAGGTACACAAATGAGCCGTATGCGGCGCAACGGACACTTACGAAGTCGTCAATTTTTTTTAAGGTTGTTAATTCAGAAAGCTTACCAGAAAGCCAGCATCCGTAACCAGGATGAGAGTGGTACCATCCGATTACATTTTCCAGTCTACCAACATTTTTACACGATTCTGTGTACGTGGCCATGTATTCGTAAGCTTGAGCTTGAGCATTCACACGCGTTTCAGTCCCTTCGACAGGAAGGGCAAACGAATCCATAACAATCATGACGTTTACGTCCACTTTACCTGTTGTATTGTATTCATATAAAAAATAAAAATAGATATGTAGAAAAGAGATTTCGGTAATGTGTAACTACTGTATCATATTAACTAAGGTTTTGGGTCTTTTTTAGTATCTCTTGTATTAAATTGCGGTAGAGTACAACTGGTGGATGCACAAAAGCTTGTGACCTTGTTTGATACACTAAACTGGCAATCAATGTATGCCTCCTATTATTTCAGCTTCTGAGAAACATTCACATACATTATTAGATTTCGTGTACATTTACGAGGCATTTGTTACAGCTTAAGGTGAGAGTAAACGATGATAATTACGAAGGTCTGCTTATATTTTTGATATGCAAATAACAACTAAGCATATTAGGATAATAAGTTATTTAAGTGACTATACTAAGTTAGACAGACGCACCTATAAGCATTCCCATCACTTCGAGATTCCCTCCAGAGCGAGCGTGCATTACCATTTTTAGAAGGGCTAATGCGGACACCTTGATATCCTTGAAGTAATTGCGGTCTTTTTCCCACGGCTTCGCATTCAGAATATCTCGATTCTGCTGCGCATCATAGTGGAAAATGGCGTCCGTGCCAACATCTTCTACCCGATTCTCCATTTCCCATCGGGCTCGTGCTGCAGTCGCATCCACCATGTTAATGCTGTTTGCTCACAGCAAACAGAACAAACGCGAAGTGGAACATTTGCAAGTTACAAAAATACCTATTGTACAGCCATTTGTTTAGATGATAATAAAGCTATATGCACGTGATAATCTCAATGGTTGTCATCATTTTCCGTAATGGCAAATACAGCGGCGCACAGCTCATCATCAAAACTTTCTTTTTTAACTACATAATTACTTATATATTGTAGATTCTAAGACACCTGTGGTAATTGATGGGCTTTGTCGACCGTCATAAGCGCCGGTTTTGCGACCTCGTGCCTTCGATGCAATTAGAGTAATGAACAGGTAGCATTTTGAAGTACTTTACTGTGTAAACAACTAGAAGCTTTGAATTTGTAAATGTGAGATTGATTTTACTTATTAATGCAAAAAACAGACAGTATAATAGGCAGTCATTTTATTGAGGTGTACGGTTAATTCGACCACTGTTCCTTGACGAGCTGCAGTGCTTAACATGCAAGATCTGGAATAACAGGGCTATTTCATCCAAATGCTTGATTGTCTTGTTTTACAAACAGAGAATTACAATTTTAGTCGAAACTTGAAAACATTCAGTTAGTTACGCTTAGATCAAAACGCACCAATTTTTCTCGTCCTAGGAAGCCGATTCTGAGTATTACACAATTGATCCCAGCGCTTCGTTTTCTTACCCCGGTACAGACAGCGGACGATTCCTTCCTGACGTTTGTTCGTGCATCATAACAAAACACTCTTTCCATTGGCGGTTCAACCAACCTTACATCAGTTCGAATTTAGCCCGCTCGCGCGTAATTCAAAAGTCATTCGTTATATTGACCGGTGATTATTATTGATTAATAATTAATAATAATAATTAATTTTAATATATCATGCACTTTACGTATTCATATGCGTACATATACTTATTTCATTATTACCTCATATTAATTGTTTAAACGGATTATATCCCATACGCATAATACAAAGATCGCTACAACTTAGTTACCCTTCAACGGGTTTACATAAACCTTTAATGGTAATAAGTTGCAAGAAATATTACATTTATACAGGAAAGGCTATGGACTTACCAAGTTTGGGCTTTGATAGAACGTCTATGGGAGAAAACTAGTAAATACCCTTTATATCCAACCTTTAAGCCCAATGACAACGATTTCACTTTCAAATAGCTGAACGTTTTATTTAAGCGTTGTTTATGTTTTTGTTTTTTTTTTTGGTAATTTTTCCCCTTTCATCAGTACTCTTTCTCAGTATAATTCGTAACTTAATATGCGCATATATGTAAAAATTACTTTAAAATGATACATATGGCATGCATGAAAAGCCCTTCGTACCTTGAGCCGACACAAAATACTTTAGGCGTGTGACCTTACTTCTGTGAATTAGTACCACATTAAATAGAATAATTCGAACACCGATTTAACAGAATATATGCTTCAAATATTTTACACGGAAAAGTATATACAGATTGTGTGTGTGTGTGTGAATGAAAAAATACATAAAAGTAGATTAGAGCCTTACGTCGGCCATCCATGGGACTAGTAAAGCATACTTCCGATTTTGTTTATTTATGCAAAAATAGCTTGAGGTCCCGACATAAACGATCCTCTCTTTGATGCTGTAGTACGTTCTACAACAAAAAATAAAAACAAAACGATGTACACATACAGCCTATATGGTTGTATGATGAACATATTTTTTGTAATATAAAATTTATTTTACAGGTGAGAAACACTTTCACAATATACCTCTCTAATACGAATGTTTAGAAAAAAATTAAAGATTAAGTTAAATATACAATATTTCGTAATGAACGTATTGTCTCAGTAGTGCATCCTTGTTTTGATGCGCGAATAATAATTGAATGAACTGGTAGATGGTTACTTCCCTTAGTGTGTCTGGGCTTGTCGTTATATATTACAGATTCACAACTTATTTTTGCTATGTACATACGTGTCAAATTATACAACGACGAAATTTATCTATATAATATGTTTTCTATTTATGTCCATGATGACACATTGAACAAATGTGTTCAGCTATACAACATTCTAGACATAATGCACTCACAACAGCAAGCTTCTTTTTCTGTCCAAATTTACATTTAAATTTACTTTTGATCTATGCGTCCTAGAATACGTTTATTACAACGCATTTCGTTGTTGCGGGAAGTTGGCGTTCTTATTTTTGTAACACGATGAACTGTCATGTACATGTATATGTGAAAAATGTGTGTATGTTATTTCTTAATACTATTATTAAAATACAAAGAAAACGATAACAACATTAACAATGCTGTCGACATCACTGAGAATATGAATTCTCTGGGTTAATATGATTCGGTTGATATTAATGTGCATGTCGAAACCTTGAGCCAGCTTTTTTTTTGTTGAGCTGGTCTCATTTGGCGTTTTCTGTTGTTAGGATAAATTCCTGCTGCAACTCCAGTGACCTTTCAGCTAAACTACGCTTGAAATGAATAATTTTTAATATATGAGATACGCGTAGTCTTTAACATGACAATTTTTAAAGCCTGCATGAAGTTGTGCGGTGAAGTTCATGATTAACGATTCTTCATATCATTTAAACTACTTTGAATTTCACTGTGAATAAAAGGTAATTGTATTTCAATCAACCAGATTGAGTATTTTTAGTGGGGTGGAGTGGGAGACCGGAAAATCTAACGTAATTTGCAATATCATTTTGTGAACAGTTTAGTAAATCTACCATAAATAGTGTAGCTGTGTTTTTTGTGCCCCGGCAGTATTTAGCCGATCCCGCACTGATAATTTCGATATAAACGGACATCGATATAAGAAAAAACATGAGACTATCCCGTTTCGTACAAGAGGTTTCATAGTACCTCAGTGATTCGTGGACTGGGTTTGCTGTGGAGAAGCTGGCGATTTTGAGGGCTCTGTCACTGTTCCCTGCTCAGGCAATTCAGGCAGTTCTTCCGGTGCCTGAGGTCCCTCCTCAACGACACCATGCGCAATTCTAATCTTAGTAACAGAACCATCACTGGGAGAGCACACCACCCCTTGGCCGGCAATGATGAACTGACCCTCGACAGTGCGGAAGGTGTTCTCTCGAATCAGATAGATGATAATCGATGAAGAGCTGTGAAGCACGACGACTCGGTCACGGTACAGCACATGATAGAATGACTCACGTACAGGCGCCGGTATGTTGATCTGCAACAGCGGAGCGCACACCTGACCACTCAGGCGGAAAAGTGTTCTACCATAGAGAATGACGACGCTGAGTATTGGAGCGGAAGCCGCTAAAGTCAACGCCGACTTCTTACCGGACGTGGCTTCTTTAACAAGAAGATTTTTCTTGAGTGAAAAACCGGGCCGTGATTCTTTGCAAGGACAAAATCCTTCCAGTTGTTCATGGGTCGCTCGTGGACGAAGGTTTCGTACAGGGATAAATTCGATGACGTGGGCGGCGGGATGCCAGTAATAGCAGCCCATCTGTTGAGACGCGTTACGCCGGGCTTCTTGCCACGAGCATCCGGGTCCATCCCCACTCGACAAGTCCAGTCTCACTCGTCGATGATCCGCCGACAGAGAAGCATAATCGATGAATATGGCGCCGTAGCTTCGAAGTAGTATGGCAAGCTCGTGCGTCAATGGCGTTAGAATAGCCGGACCCGGAAGTGACATCAATGGTTTTTCAAATCGGTTTACAAGATCGTACATGACGAGTTTCCAGTTAGGAGGACGACAGTTATCTGCAGCAGACGATACTGGGTCTAATCGAGTCCAAAAAAGTATATCACAAGTAGGACTGTAAACGATTTGTCTGCTAAATATATTCCATGTTGAGTCTTCATCCGTTGGATGAGGTAAATAGATGAGTTTGGTGTACACGAAACCTTTTCGCGGCCACCGGAAAGCCACAGGATCAAACACACTGATATGAAACGAACAATCTGACAAAAGCATGCCAACGCGGATGTGTGGTCCTTGAGATAAATCCACCATCTGGAATAAAAAACAATTCTTTATCAGGTGCTATGTGTAAAAACAAATTCTACATATAACGGCCCCTGTAAGAAGGGTTGTTCACGAAGAGGCAACCTCGATTATTATTAATAATAGATTAATAATAGAATTAATAATACGAATAACGAGAACGAGACGCGTTTCGAAGTCACAGTGTGAACGCACCTTTACAATAGGATTCCGGAATTCGTGGCTGGGAGTTACTACTGTGGAGAAATAGGTCCCGTGTGGCATACCGGTGCTCAATTCAACACAATAGACACTTCGTTCACCCTGAGGCCGTGTTGTGTAGAGAAGGACCCGAGACTGTAGCACAAGCACCTAGAACAAGAGTACAAGGGACAGGATGCACTACAAGGGACGTCATCCTACTAACTCTAAATTTAGTTAACGTTTTCTTCGACTTTTTTCTATGAAATTACCATTAGAATAGAACACGGATATTATCAGTCACTCAGTGATAACAAGACAGTCAAAAGTTTAACCGTTAAACGTCAGAAGCGCTCGTAAAGCATTTCAGGATGCTCAGTTTGAAAGACTGTCAAGACTGACTCCATGATAGTGCAGTGATAACGTGTTTGCCTTTTAAACTTCGACCAAGTAGTCCGTGGTGATCTAAGTTCGAAATTTGGCATAAACACTTCATGCTGGCATGAGCCAGCCGTCTAAAGTAATGCTTAACACTGTTGTACAAGTCGCACAACTCTAATTTTGGCTTGTAAAAAATTCCTTAAAATCAAGGAAAATGTTACTGTGCTTTTGAACCATCGCAAAACAGTCGTTAACGTACCTGTACATACTTGCAGCTACAATCTAGCTTGCGTCTGAGGGATAGAATCTAAAAGAATTACTCCGTGCTCGAAAGTGCCCGAAAGTGCATACACGTAAAATGTATTAGAATATGTTAATGCACGCAACACAATCCATAATCATTTTAAGATAACTGTTGCTAACATAATCCTTTCGATAAACATCAGCAGCAATAAGCAATTCGCCGTACGACATTACCTGTCCTATGAGGTATTTTTTCAGTAGCTTCTGGAACGTGTCGGCCTGACTGCTACGGGATTGTAATAAAGGTATCATAGTAACTGGATCTGATGGAAGGGTCTCATGTGTCGATACTGCGGGTGTTGCAGGGCTTACAGGCTCCCGCTGAGAAGTATTTGGTCCTTGTGAAGCGGATGTCACACTCGCAGCTGTGTCATTCCTTCCGGTTAGAATCAAGTTTGGTGCCTGCAGGGTATCAGCTGATGTAGAGGCAACATTCGATTTAATTTCATTAGATATCACTGCTGCTGGTGTTACGGCTGTTAGCGTAGGGCGATTCTGAATCCCGAAGGTGATCTCTTTGCTATTAGCCAGCGAAGTAGCTATAGCACGGGCATGGTTTTCGCTCATGATAATTATTGTGTAGTTTATGATAATAATCACACTATAAGATTTGATATTGCTTGTATTAAGTTGAGTTGATCACGTGACAACGTCGTTAGCCTTCATACAATAGAGAGGAAAATCTGACCATTTTTAGTACGACTGGTGGTTAGGTGTCCTATTGGCCACCGTCTTCGCAAGCAGAATGAGCTTTCCTTCAACATTATAACACAACCGCATCTTAAATGAGTCGTTAGTGATCTGTACCATAAAGTCGATCGAGCCAATTTAGGCTAAGACGGCATTGCAGCGGCCATGTGATTAGACCTTTCTTTCGCTTTTTTGCAAGTTTTTGCGATTCTGCTGGGGAGCAAATGTTGCGACCAAAAAACTGATTCAATGGCAGCTCAGTATACGCATATATACAATGATCAGAAATCTATTATGTATAATATGAAAACGTTTTTAATCGATGAAAACTCGGCGGGTAGAAAGTGGAAGCACGCACCTAAATGTCACATATGGTAAACGTTTTTTGTATCAGTATTATAACTATTGGACTGCTTTGTATGCATCATTTTTGCTTGTGTTGCATATTCGCCGTGTGAGCAGCCGTCCGAGGAAATCTCCATCTGCAAAATTGTTTTACCGTCAACCTTACTGTAACGTGCTCAAAGCAATTCGTCAAGCTACCTACATAATTATAAGGGTCACTTCCTCCAGTTTGCGTTTTCCAGGTATTCGAACGATTCGACCGAAACGTCATTCGTTCAAATCCGTATTTTGGCAATCACACCTAAAGCTCAATTAAGAATAGACAAACCAAAATTTCACCAAATTACACAATCGGATTACTAAGAGTACTATTTTAACATGTAGCTCAGCAATCAGAATGTCAAATATTCCGAATATTCTTTAGTTCTCCAATCTTTAAGGAGAGCTTAAGTAATTATCCAGTCTCTCGTAGCAAAAGTGCAGTTTTCTTATTACGATAGATGGTCTCGCTACTTTGTTCTCCTATTTTCTAAAGTGTCTTGGCGATCATAAAGCTTATATAGTCACCTTTCGACTCCAGGCTTTATATGGCTCGGTCTAGGTGCGCCGCATCTTGCCGAATCGGACTCATCGCGAAGAATGCTTACCTTGTCCTTGCCATTATCACGAACGATTTTCTTAGAAACGGCTAGCAGCTATTAAAGAAAAGGCTAAAATTAGAATCTAAGAAGTTTAAGCCCCTTAGGGGGCCCATCTGCTCCAGTTTACCTTATTTGCTGCATTATAGCAGGATTATAGCATTATCACACTCGATATATCCATTATATATATGCATGTAATGCAACTACTAAGAAGTTAGAGATAGGCTATGAAGTTTAATTAAGTATGACTTAAATTTTATTTCTTATACTGTTCACCTGTTTAATCAATCAGTCAGATAGCAATAATAATACAATCGTAAATCGGAAGTTGGCAGTATTGAAATAAGCACAACAGAAAATGATTATACGTCCTTTTCCCGATAGGAAAATCGGCGAAGTGGATATTGCAGAGTGCAGTTGTCCATATGGTATATACATATAACATATGCACGTATATATGGCAATATCTATTCTAAGAATGTAATGCACGCCCCTAATTCTGAACGAACAAAACAGTACACGAAAAAAAAAACAAAGATTAATTACATAAACATGCAAGAGTAGATTGATTGTTCGTGACTAATGCATTGACGGATATGAAAGCCAGTGGCCACTTGCTAGCAAGGAAATGTATAAATATAACTATCTGTGACGGGTATTAATTGTAAGAACTTCATTGCTTGATAGCCTAACGGACACATCGATCGACAATAATCGACGTGAGCTAAGTAAAACTTTTCGAAACTATTCACTTCGTCTCAATTCAGCCGAGAACGGCTTGCAATACGATGAATTTCAATAGCTGAAGTCAGCAGAGCATTCCCGTACGAACTGATGTTTACTATTTGACCGATATAAGAATGAAACAAGCCTCACAAGTTAAACCACGGCTCTTTCCCTTTTAGTTTCACTGAGTACACATTTTGTGAATATGCAGATATTTTTTTCTCTTTTACGGAAAAACATCACATTATTTACACACTTTTCTCTTAGTTACGTTACTGATGAGTTCTATTTGGGCAGTAAAATTTCGCTAAATTTTATATCCTTTGCCAGAAAACGTCCACACCCATTACCGGTGGTGTTATTACGCTGTAGAGTCACTTGCAATCAATTTTGTATCATGTCCAGCATTACCAACGAGCGTGTATCTGCGTATATTGTTCACATAACATAATTACTAATGTACTGAGTGTATATATATATATATATATATATATATATATATATATTCGTAGGTTTTCGGCTCCTAGATCTACTCACAGCTCCTCCACAACAAATTTTAAAGTCTTTGTTACTTTTTAAGATATACAAAACTAGTAAACATTAATTTGTTTGCTTCTGAGAAAAAATGAAAAATTCCTCTTTTTCTCTCAGTCTTCATATGCGCATTCATCTTCGTCAGCGCTTCCTCATACGATAGACGAGTCTAGCAGATTTTACGGCACCTATCTGATGCATCAACATGTACATACATGCTTAATATAAACAATTATTATGAATAAGGCTCCGTTACTCACTTTTTGCTCAAAACTGAAGTGTGTGAAACAGTTTACTAAGGGTTTTCTTTTGCCGAAGTAACATTGGATCGAATCGTGTGTATATCACATTTAATGGGAGTCAGACAGAGCTACACTCCGGCTTGTCTACATCAAAAATCGACAATACGTTTTTAGCGTGAAGTAATAATAAATAGAGAGAATTTGGCTCTTGCACTTTTTTCCTATTTAGTTCCGTCGCTGCAATTCGAGCGACTACCTCCGTCACTCCCTATAGAAGAAAGTTATTCCTGCAGAACACGCAGTGAGGTCTCGTTTTAATACCACCATCACACTAATTAATAGGTCAGTGGTTGATTCTGCTTTGTATTCTGCTCGACATCGTATCAGTGAGGTCGGACTGGCCTGAAGCTGAACTTACTTGTGGAGCAGTTTTAATACAGATGCGAAGTAGGATAGGAAGATAGTATACATAATATTGTATTATAGCACATTGTATAAACGTTTGTGTGTGTTTGATCCCTCGATATATCGTGCACAGTGTTGTGGAGGCAATCTTGTGACTATGTGATTGATCAAAATGGACGGTGTTGAGACAGCGTGTTAACAAGAAGCCCATCGTCGAAATGCTTCCTACCGTGTTATTATATTGTGGCGTGGCGAAGCCATTTATTTAATGCTATATATATATATCGGTATATTTTTTATTAAACGATTGGAGTTAAGCTGTAGCACCCTTTTCGACAACATTGCTTTCTTTGCTAGATGCTCTGAAGTGCCTCAAAGTTTGACTTTGTCTTTTTTAACCTTTCTATCTCTCTATCTAGTATTAATGATTGTATTGTATCTCTATCTAATGCCTCAAACGCTTTGTTTCAGCTCTTAGATGTATGTGTATCGTCATACAAAACGAGCATACGATGGCTACTTATGTAGTGGATCTAAGATTCTATGCTTTAGCTGCAGTCTGGCCCTGGAGAGTATTAGCCAAGAAGGTCTGTATTCCTGAGATGAGTACAGTCTTAATCGCAGGGTTCGAAGTGATGTACTTGAATAGTGCTTCCGGCGTCTTAATATCGTCAATTGAAAAGTTCCCTGAAATTAAACACAGATACCGTTTCTATTAAACAACTATGCGAACTTGAGAACGCGTCGCAAGTACAAAATTTCATCTTGTTAGCTTAATACACAAATTGGTTCAATATTTATAAATATTAAAGTGATAGTTGATTTGAACCGAAGAAGAGACAGCTCAAAATAATAGAAACGGTCGATTGTTTACGTCAAATCGTAGATATATATATATATATATATATACATATATATCGTAGGTATATATAAACGTTATGAGGAGCAATCGTGTTTGGCTTATTTTAGGCCGCTCAAATGATGGAAATATATCTTAATGTTTTGTTTGGTCTTCAAAGATTTACAAATGAACGTCTTCAAGGGAATTCGAAGGTCGACCATAGCAGAGCACTCGCCCTCTGACAGATGAATCCGCATAGATGATTTAACTTTTTCATGTTTGTTCTCATTACATGCTGAATCACTTAATCAAACAGTGATGAAGATAATGTTATGGTAACGAAATGGGCGAGATTTTGGCCAGAGTATCTGTTGATGTGTGCATATAGTTTTACTCGTAAAGGTAAAAATATCTACCTTGAGCGCTGGACGCTTCAGCCTCGGTACCTCCGGCTGATGCGCTGGTCGTATGCGCGGTACGAGATTTATCACCACCGCCTTTCAGCAGATTACCAAAGCATGCGAATAAGGCTGCCGTCACAAAACGGTGTCACACAAAAGAAGAACAATTAATTTTCGGTAAATAATCTTTGTTAGCTACATTTAATGGAAAATAACGTCAACTAAAGGATATAATCAGGATAACAAGTCTATGTGCAGCGATGGTGTCCACGGCTTAATTGTGGTCAGGTCAGGTCAGGTCAAATGCTGTGAATTAACATGCTTATTTGGCTGATTGCACTCCCCCAGCTGAACGGAAGAACTTGTGTAACCTATTTTAGAACAATAATACTGGAACATACGTAAAATCCGAGCTGCTTTACTGAACTGACGGCAATAGGCCATAAAAAGGCCTAAACTACTTGGCTGACAGTTCCTTTAAAACATCAGAAAATCTTTGGCACAACTGGATGCAGGGAAAACTTAATAAAATTGCTTTGGAAGGACAGGCTTTTCAGCGTGCCATCATGCTTTGACAATGCTACGAAAATATTTGCCATCTTCCATCATCTTACCCGAATTGGCCAAAGCTTTTAGGCTCAACTGGCCGTTCCGTCGTAGAACTGGCAGCGTGTAATTATTTTTGAGAACAGTTAATAGAGCGAAAATGAGCATACTAGTAGGACTACATCGTCACTGCTGTTAGGTTACTCTTTACCGCTCCCTGTATTCTAGGCTACGAGAACGCTTCAATTCTACAATAATAATGTCAATGTTATTATCAGTGTTAAGTATTTAATAATACTGAGGCGGTAAATTAAAAAAAAAACAACCGATTTTAAACATTTGGATGGATCACTGACTCTGCTTAAGTCGTTAAAATGTAATTATTTGCATTTAACATTTAGAATTCAATTAGTCAATTGCTATACGAATTGTTATTATAATTGTTGTGTCTTTGGACAACTCACGATTTCCGCCAGTTCCGCTTTTTCCGTCCAGATCCCCGGAAAGAGCCGACGCTGTAAGAAAGACAGTGTAATTCCTCAGAGCTTAAGTGCATTTATCGTTCTCCTATACAAATAGGAACCTTTTTAGGTTGTAAGAATTGAGCAGGTGCAGTTATGACCTGAACTTATCAGTAATGCTAGCGGAAGAGGCGCATTTAGTCGTCCACATGCTTCTCATCAATATTGCTACTTCTACTATAGCTTATTCGTCTGAACCGATAAAGGAAATGGTTTATGGCAATCTGTTAATTTCGGTAACGAATAGCTTTTTTAGAATAGAGTAGATTCTTTTTTAGTTGATATTTTTTTTCGTGTTGTAGGAGTAATTGTTTTCGTTGTATCGATGCAACTAGAGACCCTAAATCGTCGACACCGCTAAGAATGCTTCTGCTATTATTAACAACACGTAGTCAGTACGAAGAACGCGATAATAAAAAAAATCAGCAATATATCGCTGTTATTAGTACTGACTCAGTTCTTATTCTATTTCAACGATGACTGAGACGTATTGTCGCCCGCTAAACATTCGTCTGCATGTTGAGCTACATTAATACTAGTTGATGTTTGTTCGTCTCTATTTTCATTCTTTCCGCCATTTGTTTAATGAATAGGAATACTGGATATAGGATATAGGAATATCAACTGGCGCTAACGAAGCTTAGTTAGCTGATGGTTATTAGCTGCACGACCTTTGCGTTGCGACAGGGTAGGAAAAATACAAGGCAAGCTTAAGTTACTTGAAGTGCTGTGGAGCACAATGCTACCACGACCCGTTCAGCGTAATGAAATGAGACTGGTTCGTAGAGTGACGCTGAAACAGAATACAGTGTTTTCATTGCATCGAATAGATTCGAATAGATACAAAAAAAAAACTCAAAACCTTGTCACGCCTCAGCTGACAGAAAGATGTAGCGTCTGTTGTTTATACGCAACGTGAGCGCTTTCTCTAGCATTAATGCTATGACGACAATCAGCATGGCATAAAGACAAAAGCGTCATGAGTTCATTCACTGACGAGTTCTAAAAGTTGACTAGAGGTAACGTGCGCTTTATTTGTTCTCAATAGCACCGCACACACGTATGTTATTAGAAATTAAAAATTATTTATCGATTGTTCTAATGTTTCTCAAAGCTACCTACCCAGTAGACCAAAAGATCTATTTAGAAAATGTCACAGATATAAACAAATACGAAAAATTGGATCAATACCAAGCGATCGCTACTACGCCTACATATACCGATCTATTTATCTTGCTTGTTACATAGGCCCTTCCCCTATGCCAAAAATCAGTTATAAATGCCTCATACCCAATGACAACGTTACATAGGTTTAACCTGTTATATTGACGACACTCACAAATAACAGACTGAAGCACGCCGATAAGTCCCTGTTTATCTCCTATGTTTAGCTCACGAATTACGTCTGAAGCTGGCCTAGGAGCTGGCGGCGGCGGAGGCGCGAGACCGTCAGGTGATTCGGGGGGCGCTTCTTGTTTTTTTCCACCTCCTCCGAAAACCTTTTTTCCTACAACAGGAACAAATGTAAGAAAAATGTACTGCCCTGTGGCGCTAAATACTTTACATAAGCGTTTTTGTACAGTTTTTGCGGAAACTTCATCTTCGATTTTTTTGTCTTGTAAACCCTCTAATCGTGTATATATATATATATATATATATATTTATTTATCAAACGAGTGTAAAAATACGATTAAAAATATATGATATACGAATATCGTACAGTGGAATTTCACACCCATATGATGTTCGTATGCTTCAGAAGATTCACACTAATTAACTAGTTCCTGTTTTACCTTCGATTTTCTAAATGTTTTACTTAAATGTACAGCGCTTTATTGGTCGCAAACACGCGTTGGTCTGTTCAAAGACTATGGAGGGGACGATGGCCTACTCTGGTGCTAACTAGCGAACGATGTCTGGGAATGGGACGGGAATCGGCGTGAGCGTTGGGACCAGCCGTGCAGCGAACAAGGTTTTTCAGTTCGTAGCAGCTCGTAGTACAAACGTTCAATCTAAATGTTTCCTTTCGTCTAATTCCACAAGGACATGAACTAGAAGAGCTAATGGTATCAATTATTTAATACTTAAATACATACCACAAAATGTAGAACACAACATTCGAATGTTCAGATTCTCTTACCTAATCCTCCAAGGCCAATATTGTCAAGCGCGTTCTTTCCAACATTCTTAAGCGCCTTATCGTCATCGGCTGATACTTTAACACCCTCCGAATCGCATAGCTGCACCAAGATATCTTCTAGTTCCTCAGCAGAAAATTGATTCAAGTGGGAAGTGTCTTGTGCTTTTGTGGGAGCCATAGCTGCTGGCCGACTTTTGGTCTCTGTAACATTGCAAATAAGTAATACGAAACAGTTCAAGTCTATAAAAGGATTGCCGTTGACGAATTCACTAAAACTGCTCGTACCATTGCCGCTTTGTATTTATCTAATCAATACATTCTGTTTTGTATATGTGAAACGCAAACTGCTACACGAAACATTATTAATAGAAACTGTATACCAAAGTTAAACATTCATATCTTAAGCCAAATAACGTACACTATTTTACTGTAATAATTCTGTAAAAAAACTGTAGTAGTCAAAAACTAGGAATATACCCGCATCATTGCGGTCATACATTATTTATGCACATTGTAGAGTTCGTAATTGACGGGGCACTAACAATTACAATTGTTACCGCCTGTATCGTTCGTGATTATGGCACTTCTCCCAGCCATTTGTGTAGAATGCGCGCGTTTTACGGGGTTCAGATTCGGATTTAGCTCGATGCTAACTGGGGCCCGACAGAAATATCGTATCAAAAAATAAACCCACCTCATTTGATGTCTAGTAATGTGGTCACTGGATTATATAATGATAACAACTGTGATCCTCTTCTCGTTGCCAGACTTCCCTATATTCATAGGCGACTTATTAAAATGCATTTGGTCCCTTAATGCAATAATAAAAAAGACCTTCAGTTTTTTGTTTGTATCGCACCGTATGAACCAACGTGATTAGATCGGCTTTGAGATGCATCGCTTCCCAGATCGTTCCGCTATTAGACGTTGGATCTATTTTTAGTGTACTTTCTATTGGTTATTGCTTGAGAGTATAACGCATTCTTCCAATCTGCCTGTTGCTGGAGTGCACCGCACTCCCTTGATTAATGGAGCCCAGTGTCGCGCCAGAAGAAGGGCAAAGGCGGGGAATTTCTTAAATAAGGAACGATCGTTCAAACTGTAAAAGCATATAGAATTTGTGTGTGACAAAAACTCGAGCTAGCAATCGGAAGTTACATCTGAGACTTACTAGCGGAAACAAATTAGCGGTTTACACTTGAATGACCGCAGGATTAACGCTAATCTCAAGTATTCGGCTCCTTGAGATAAACTGATTTTATAAGCAATAACCCTGTCAGTACTTTTCATTGTACAATGTTAAGTCGATGCACATGGTTACGTATCAATGCACCCAAACATACACTAGTATGGAAAACAAGCCAATTTACCAAAACAATTTCGTTATTATCAGCTTCCATCAGACTTCCCGCTAGGTCTCTTCCTCTAAAAAACGCTTGTACTATATATATAAATTTGCAAACGTAAAACTTCTATTCGAAGGAGATGACTCTGTTAACAACCTATAATTCTTAATTTTATAATCGAACGTTGATCGCAACGCCCTTTTTGCCAATTGCCTACCTGAACCAGTACTTCTGGCGTCCTTCTCCATTCACTGATCGTTATAATTAAACTTGACTAATTAAATGGGCGCCGTCCTTATTATTGCCCCTATTGTCAACTTATTACGTGTCAGCCCGGTGGCATGCTATACACGTTTTTTGTACCTGTAACGAACGCTTTCTCTCCGTTTCTGATGACCGCTTGGCAGCGAGGCATGCAGCTAGCAAATGGAGAAGTAACGCTACGACCGCCCATGCACTGAGATCTTTTTACGAGCTATCTGCCGTGCCAACGCCGCATTATGACCACTATCTTTTTAGGCTCTATAAAAGTCTTCCGACCATATAGCTTCCACTATCAATGTGTCAGGCCTCGACATTTGATTCAGTCGGTGAGCACGTAAGAGCACAGGCCGTATCGATATAGTGATAAGCGTACTGAGCACGACTGTGATTATGTAGTATGAACTGAACCAAAACTGATCCCATGCAGAAAATAGCGGGCGAGTCAAACAAGTGCTAACTTTTTAGTTCGTAGTTGTGCTGCACGGGCTCCACTTGTGATACAATCGCAGAACTTCTGTTCTTAGCTTAGTATCACCCGACGTGTGTATTTTTGTAATTACTATTGTCATCGATTTATACCGATTACACTTTGGACAAGTGATGATTTTTTCTACAAAAAGTATTAATAAAGCAGTTTGGTTTGGGGTATCATTATTATGGCTGTTTCCGCTAGCAAACGTGAAGTGGTACTCCGCTTCTAGACAGTGAAATGGCAAATTAGAGCGGTCTAAAAAAATATCGAGGCCTCACTAAAGTCAATTGCCATTGACGTATAATGTATTTTTATAACCGAAGTGCATTAAGATTAGTACGCTGTACGAAAATGGTACGACTTAATTTTACGAGCTATAAGGCCGGCGTGCGCTTATATAAAGGACCCTTGAAACGGCCACACGTTATAACGTAGTATCTGACAGATTTCACAAGAATAGCCTTAGAAGCGTGCAAGCGTATTTCACAATAATAATAATAGGGTTGAAATATCCAGTCATTTACATCGGTCTTTTATATCTGCAAGGTACCTACCGTAGTTACGTAGGATGCTAAGGAAAGATATAGCTAACGGTTCCCAAGCTCTTTTTATACATGTGACAATTTGTTGATCTTTCCCTTATAGTTTATTCGAAAGAAAACAGAATAAATTGCCCACAATTTTAGATAAACCTTACCCACATCAGCATCTCTAATGCTAGCATCTAAGCACTATGCTGTTGAACGATCACAAATACGTACTTTGAGTTGGAATGGAATATATAGATAGTTGTATATGCACGTAAAATCATTATTTTAGGTGATGCACTCTGCTATCAGCGGTCATGCACGGCAATTCGTTCTTCGGTGATTAGCGCTGGTGACTTCCGTAGATAAGAATCGTCGAAATGACTGTACAACAATAGAGCTAGATGCTAAAAATAATACGAGAGGCTCTTTGTGCGATTCCTGCGACGACTGTTGACTGCTGCTCGCTAGCCGAGTTATCATGGTACAAAGACACGGCATCTTCTCCCTTCTACCCCTGTGAGCCAGCGGTAAAACAAACAGAGACCCAACGATGTCTTGCTCATCTTTCCATCTGTATTTGTCGTTTCACTCGAGTGAGTAACTTGTCGTATTTACATATTCGAGGCCAGATCATTTCTCTCGTCACATTCGGATCGACGCAGCGCGGAGTAATGACAATGCTATAAGGCCTAGCAGGTACCGAGTGCCAATCGAATAATCGCATTACAATGCTTGCAATACGATACAATGGAAAGCAAATATATGAATATATAGCACATAAAGTATAGAATGTTATAGTTAAGGGCACAAGCCAATTAGACGGAACTGTGCGCCATCTCTAATGAACAAAAGCTCTGAGAGGTGACAACGACGTCGAACAATACTCTCACTTAGCAAGACGCTACATATATCGTTTTATCCGCTAGGTAGCAGTTGCTCGTATGCGAGGACAGCCAGGCTAGTTCAATGGAAAACTCGGTATGACCTCGGCATAGATGACAAAGGCATGCATACCAATACAGTTAAAATCCACATAATGTATCGAGCATACTACAGATACGCTGTTGCTGCTGCACCAGAAGCAGTATAACGTCGCAATGTTTACCGTCCTCACGGGCAACTCTTGACGGTTTGTCGAGTCCTGCATGCACACTATGTGTTTGCTTTCTTTAAGAAGTAGATACTACAGCAAGGCAGGTTGCAAACCATGTGCAATAAACCAGCGATAGTGGTTGAACCATCTGGCGAACCAAAATACTAAACTCACATAGAATAATTGAACCGTATTGTTCTGATGTTACTATCCGGCTAAAAGTAACAGCTCTTAAAATTATAGTCCTTCTTTCACAGGAATAACTAAAATATCCTTATGTCCGCTATCACAAAAAGGTTCTTTCCCACAGTTCGACGTCAATCGCTCCTACGGGGTCCACTTCACTTGCACGGATTTTGAGTCAGGGGTGACTTTTTGGCTTAACAACTCGAAGCATTGGATTCGAGGAACAGACGCGAAAACATCTGTGTACCTATTGTTTTTTAATTAAAATAGCGCTTTCGAAAGCTGTCACTGGTGAGCCCGGCGCCACAGGTAAGAACGTGCGAAACTTACGCGTAGTTTATCTGTAAGTCACTATCATTTATCCAACCTTTAATAATACGAAACTTCGGGTCAGATACCACTATCCAGTCTTGACACATATAGACAACAAGATCGAACAACCCTGTAACCAGTGTTTACTTTACGTTTTTTCCTTATTTGCGATGTTGCTTTACTATTAGTCTTTAAAAATAACGTTTATAAAGGTACCCATTGGTCAAATGGAGTTGAAAAACATTAATCATGTAAAACACGGTAAAGAGAAACGTTCTGTTTTTCCTTTTTTCATACTCTTTCCATTCTAACATTCGAAGCATCTGTGCATGGTTTCAACTTATATCTGTAGCATATTGAAATATACATGAGTGCACGGCTCTAACGCTTGGGGTATTTATCTGCAACACAGTAGAGAAAACATCGATCAGGTCTATACAGTTCTATATATCGTACTAAATCGGTTTATTCCTTTGAATGTCGCCCTTTGGCCGATATTTGTCACATTCGTATCCGGTTATATGAACTGCGAACGTCAAACGACCCGGAACATTTTCGGACGGATGGCTGGACCGATACCACCAATGGTAGTGCAATGTTAAGACTAACTATCGTGGACGCACTATGGAATCCAGAAGAATAATTCATATATGCGTTTTTCATCGGTATACCGAAATAAAACACTTCTCGTAGAAATACTGTCGGAGTTAGGGTTATGCTTAAGCTCCTTGCATTTTTCTAGATTTCTCACCAGGGCTCGCTGTCTCACATATGGTTATCCATGTATTTATCATGAACAATACGCGCTAAACACGTCTTTAGTACTTATTAACGTACAAAAAGATACTGTCAGGAGTGGTTGCGCTAGCGATGGGTGTTTTTTTTTTGTAGGTATGCAAATATAATGCTGCTAAAATAAGTTGCGCGAACTATTTAACAGTCAAAGCTGAACAAAATGCGCCATTCGTGAACAGCGAACAGAAACAGCTTCGGCCATTCACTCGCTCCAATTCGAGTAGCAGCGCACCACCGAACGAGTGGCGCTCCGGCCAGGACCGCGCCCATATCTGTTTCACTGCTGCGCGCCCGTAGAACCAGTGCTTTTCTAACTATTGCCATTATAGTCCTGTACGTGAGTTGCCCCGCCGCTGCTTGTGTTTGCGACCCTAACTGATATTTTCCTCTTACTTATCTACCGGTTTTTGTTGTCAACTCTTGTATCTATGCATCTATAATGTAATGTGTCGCTACCACACGGTACTGCTACTCACATGCGACGTACCGTCAACCAGGACAATCCTCAATCCTCAATCCCAGTAGCAGCACGTCACTACGCACCCATTCAATAATAACGCTGCAAATACTGTAGACCTTTTGTGGCCTGTCTTCGCCTTCACCGCGAGTCGTGGTCACTTGACTGCGAAACAAACTTGCCCACAGTTCCCAAAGCCGACAACGGCGGAGGCAGCGTCAAACGCAACGACCGTAGCGGCTGATTTCTCCTCTCAGTCGCTTACTCAGACACAGGTACGCAAAAAGGCAGACGCACAGATCGAAACTTTGGTCAGCGGCAACTGCACCAGCTTTACCGTCATTTGACCAACAGGAGTGGCACCTGCCAACGACAACACTTTCTGCCGCTGGCACCGCCGCCGCCGCTGCTGCTGCTGCCGCCGCCACTGCCACCAAAACAATACTGGCTCTCAAGCCCGTTCAACTATGCAGTATTCAGCCACTAGAGGCGCCACTGGTATCAGCTTCTCGTTTCACTTTTTGTCGTTGTCGTTTTCCGCCCAATTCGATACCACCGCTTCTGACTGTCTGTCTGGTAAATTCTCTTTCGGTTGGCTTGTCTTTATTGCCTTCTCGGCAGCGGCCCCGTTGCACCGCAGCGCCATCTCTGCCATACGCCGAGTTTACACCGTAAGCAACGTTGTTGGGCACGTCAAATTGCATCGGATGATTTCGTTGGTAAACGCAGCGCGAACGCCAACATTAGAGACAAATATAGTCGCTTGCTACTGACCGTTGCTGGCGCGATGTGCACGCTAAACGCCCAGACCATTGGCCGGGCCGGATGCGAAGGACACATTTGTAGTCACGACGACAAAAGCGGCAGCGGCAGCGCCAAGGAGGGCTTTAGTGACACACCACAAAGATACTTGAGAAGAAGGGCCGCAGAGGAATTGTGCGGTCGGTGGTTGCGTAAGGCATAGCCTTCTCCACAGAATGGCCTCTACACACTTCCACTGGCAGATTTAAATTTCGGCGCCGCCAGTTTAAATGTCACCGGTACTCTGCACTTAGCAAAAGAATTAAGAGTGGCCAAAAGAAGCAGCTAAATTTCGTGTAAGTGTAGCAGTCTATCAGAACAAGCTGTTACAAACGGGTACATTTTTGTGTCCTGTTGCTTCTAGCTTGGCAACAACGTTGCCTATGCTGAGATGCGCAATATATAACACCAATGATTAAATTTGAATGGCAAGAACGGTCCACCATAATGATTCTAAAACGAACGTTTTGTTGACGTTAAAAACAACTTGCGGAATAACAATAGCGTGTTAGGAACACAATTATTGATCTGGCTGAGCCGCTCAGACTGTTGTGGCCGTTGACCGGTTAGTTTGTGAAATTTGTAAGGGAACGCTAAGCTCTAAACACTATTAAAGTGTCTACAGCGATATGGCTATAAGTGTTTTGTCTTTGAAAGTTTACCTACAGATCGGTCGTGATAAGGACGTACATATCCTGGGCGGTAAAATAAGGTGTCTATGTAACAACATTAACTACAAGGGTGCAGTCTAGATTTTTGATTATTGTTGTGCAGATATACATATGGTTTGCACAGGATTCTCCAGAGAGTAAAACAATATATATGTATCCTGTTTCTGTTAAACGATCCTACTAAGGTTTTTAAGGTTCCTATAAGAAGAAGTCATACATTTATCTTTTGTGATTTAAGTCGGGGACGCGTATATGTAGAGCTTGTATATGTAAAGAGCGGCAGAAGGTACTAAATAATCTGTTCGCTGATAAAGTGACAAAGGAACACTTGTAACGGTAAAACACAAGATCGCGTAATGATTCAATGTGTACGTCACACTGTTGGCCAAATAGTTTCGCCTTGATACTTACTGACATTCTACAGCTGGGCCGATAACAGCATTATAATCCAGATATTTTTGTGCATTTCCTATAAAAGATCATATTGACTAGCTGTAGGTAAAAATCTAATACTGCGACAAAACCAAAAGCTGAAATTTATTACGAGTAGTTTTAATCTAACCGATCCATTCAATACGCTTAATGAAATCCGACGTTTTAGCTGATGAAGTAAATATTGAAACCAGGGCGGTGTGGTTTTTTATTGAATTTTTTGATTCATTCAGAATATCAAGCAAACCCATTTTAACTCAGTGTTGTCACCGTATGAGATATGGGTGATTACGCGCACAGCTTTAGAAGCGAAAAATTTCAAAATTGTCCCTATATAGTTAGCTTTGAGAGCGAATTGAAAAGTCCGATCGGCAGCTTCGAAGCAAAAAAAACTGACCGGAGCCTTATGAAAGTCATATTTCTACACAAATCCTTGGCCAAATTGCACACTTTACTTCAATCCTGTTGCTTAGTAAATACATCATAATCACCGACGTAATTCTTTCAAAAGAATTGAGTTCTGCAGAAAAGAGGGTTACCATTGGGTTGGCCACGCAGATTGTCTCTGGCTATGCTAGGAAGAAATACATACACATCTTCGTTGACAAGGGGGGACTTTGTTAAAAAAAATCTTTCACCCTGCATGAGGGTAGCTTCCTTACTGCTCAAGCCATTATATACAAGCAGCTTAGAAAAGTTCTTGCAAACTATCCGCCCCCATTATGACAATGACGGGAATGCGTCTACTAACAATACGACCATTACGCTGTCCCCGTGGGCCAGACTTTGGGTAAGTAGCTATGTAAATGAAACTATATTATCCACTTTCAAATCACACGTAATCATCGTAGTACCAACGTGTTTGGGAACAAACATATATGAAGTGCATGAGAACTAATGGAATTGCAGGGATAGGAAGTCTTTATAGAAGAGTTAGAAACCGTCAGGTTTTCATTTTTCAAGAAAATATATTTGAACTTATGGATAACCATACGAAAATACACGACATTCACAAAAGAGGTAGACTTCCCTATATTGTATTATTGTATCGTATATAGTATCCGAATTATATTGAGATTAAATTGGGTATAGTTGCTAGCAAGTAAGTGTAAGCTAATAAGTTCGTAGGTATCCTTTATCTATAGATCCAAAATTATATATTAAAACAAGATTCACTGAGTATAGAGCTATTAACAAAGAAGTTAGGCGCTCATCCTCTTCTATGAACACATTTATTACAGGCTTTGAAGGAACACAAATCAAAGAACACTATCATCGCGGAGTCACCTATCCATCCTATCCAGCCATAGCAGTAGTCACAAAATACTATTTTATAAATATTGGGCTGTCGAAAAAGTATTGGCCGCTTTAAAGTCAACATTGAAGCAAACATTTTTTTAAATGCTCTAAAATAACATTAGACTATGAACATATGACGTCTCGTTATTTTCCTGGTAACTAATCACCTTAAGACTTGTGTGATTTTTGCATTCTTCTATTGAAACTCAATTCACTTCATTAAAGGAACTCTACGAAGGATGATGGTGCTTTCATGGTGCAAGATTCGCAGACGTCGACGCATTCAAACCTCCCATCCAGGTCCTCTATCGCCAGGCAGCGGTAGCAAATCATAATGCGCGACCCGTTTTCGATCCCACCAAACATAGCATAGCATCACTTTCTTTGGCGTGAGTCTGAACCATACCACAGATTATGGGGTACTTCACTGTGACTTTTTTCCTCTTTGGTCTTTCTCGTAATTTCTCGGATCGTATGTGATTCACTTTTAGTCATTCGTGATTAACCGCTTTAGAACTGGCTTGATTTCCTTCATTTCCGTAAAGTTTTATCGATGGAGATACGGTCTTGCGTCTTAAGCGACTTCAGATAAACTTTACTTGCGTCAATCAGTGTGGCATTCAGAGATAGAGCTTTTTTGTAGCCAACTGTTTCTGATAGATACTTAGTTCCTTGACAATATCATTAGCTACTCATGTGTCAGTCTTATAATTTTCGCAATCGTTTCATTGAGTTTCTTCGCAATTATTGCAAGAAGTATCATTGATCGAAATTTCTAAAACGAAGGCAATACAATTATCCTTGCGCTCTTCTTTTCGATAATATATCTTTCATCTGATCTTTTTCTGAGCCTGAACGACATTTATGTCTTCATCGCAACACAACTGCAAAGTGAAACGAATTCCACTCGTCTTTAAAACACCTTGTTATTATCTAACTGTATGCATTTCAATGATTTTAGCGCATCTATTATTCTCAGCTTTCCAATGATATCAACTCCAGACTGATAATATTTGAAATCTGTAACTTTGAAGTTCTTTAGCTAGAAAATACTTTTTTGACAACTCAGTATATGCACATAAATGTTAGATCCTCATGAATCAACTGCTTTGTACTTACTATAGTATAGGAAATACATTATCATTATTATTAGTACGCCACGCCGTCCTTATTGATTTTACATATGATCACCTCCTTCGCTATTACTCTTCCAGGATAGTTAGTCCTGGGTCTAACGTGGGGAGTACATTGTCGTCTTTCACTATCATCTCCGCCAGTTTCTAATCACTTTGCACAACAAATTTGGTCATAGCCCATTATTTACCAGTCATCATCGTTTGCCACTTCGTTGTTACTAGGCTGATTCTGTGCAGGCGCTAGTTCATTGCCAGCATCGTAATAATTTACTTTTTCTTGTTGTAGTTCCATTGCATGATCCCGTTTATTTCTGTCGGCTTCTTGATCCTCACGATTTACCTCGTCTTCCTCTCGAACTCCCTCCAATGTCCTCTGTCTCGCTTGCAACTCCTCGTTACTGAGCTGATTGTCCCAGAGGGTAGCAAGGAGTGCCTGCAGGCCGGAACTTTCGTGAAAATTACGTCCAATCTTCAATTGTTTCATCAGCGAGCATAACGCCGTCGTGGTATGCTCCTCCCAGAACTTCCGACCGATCCATCACGACCGGAAACACCAAATGAACGGTCACGGCAATATTCTTTTTGAGCTTTTGTTTCCTGGAAGTGTTTATAACCTTGGTTTACTGCATCGTATAATCTTAGCGTGTAACTAATCTTACCTCGCTAAAGGGATCTTCTTCTTGGCAATAAAACAGGCTCTGAATTAGTGGCCTGTCTTTGGCTTGAATCCGTCCTGACAGCTCAAGTTGATGTACAGCAAGACTTGAACTGGCATTAAGTGAAGACGCTGTTAATGGAAGCCCACTTTGCACGCGAACACCTTCATCCGCTGTGCGCAAGAGCTGCAAGGTAGATACAATAAACTATTGGTATGAATGATGCAAGAGAGAACGTTACCCAATGTACCTTATAGGTAGATCATTGAGATTTTACAAATTTCATTTAGGACGAAAGTTGAACGTTAGGTTTTCTTCGAGATCTGTATTCTACGATAAGAGATGTCGCTTGGACAATCCAAGAACAGGCTTGGATTTGTGGTTCGACTACGGGAGCACTTACATCATGGTGTGTCATGTCAAGCAGTTTGTCAAGGTTGTTGAACGGCGTCGGTGTCTTGTCTTTGGTTTTAGCAAGCAGTCGCTTTTCGACGGCCCGATATTGACCAGCCAATTGTTCCATTCGTTTTTCGGTATCTTCAAGCGCGAGTACCGACTGAATCAATAAAAAAGCACCACGTATTTTGATGGATTACCCTACTCTTATCTGCAAACCTATTGTGCGAATGATACTGATATTATAGTAAAACCTAAATATGAGCTTTGTTTGATACGAGCCTCGACTGCTTTACACCTGAGCATGAACTTTCAGACTTGCTTTACAGATTTCGTATTCGGCTATATTTCTTCCATTTGCCATAACTGAAGGTATAGTAAAGGTACAGTAACGAAATAGCGCAGCGCGTAAGCTAAGACATTATAGGCATCATAGCGCATTGGGTATGGATTATTGGCTATTTAAATGGACGTTGTTCCGGCAAAATGAAGTTCGTTCAAAAGAAGCAAGTAAATCAACGGTACCTGTATGTGATCTACTATCGCTTGGAGGTAGTCATCTAGCGAGGGAGGCTTTGTGTGAAGCTGTACATCTGGCTGAGCCTTGCGGACACGTTTTAAGAATTCGTTCAGGATAAGAGCTAACGAGGAGTGGACGTCGCCTGTAGGGATGACGAAGGTTAATATGATCAACAAGTGCGCTCACGTAGTTGAGCGTGTGACGATTAAAGAAGCCTGGTAAATATGACGTCGCAGCTGAATTACCATGCAAAACTTGAGTATGCTTGCTAGGAGAGATAAATTTTATTAGAAAAAAAAACTCTGTTCTCTGCTCGAATCTTCAAAATCTCGGATGTTGGTATTTAAAAATAAACTAATTGTGCAGTAAGTGAAGGAAAGCATACATTCAGTTGCTAAACTAAATTCGTTGTATTACGTTTTTAACAAGGACAGAATGCGGAAACTATAATAGTAGTATTAGAAATTAAAAAAATAGTTTTCCATTGCCATCTGTTTACAAAATGCCTCTTGCTCACCTTGAATGCGATATTTATTACCAGCGACAAAAAAACCCACTCGAGCTCCATTGAAGTATTCAAACTCGACTTCGTTGATACTTGAGTCTTTGACGAGTGAAGGAAATAGCTTATGAGGCATAATCACACTCAAGCTGCTCTCGATGGTTACCTTATGTTTGGCAGTCTTTGGCGGATTGGGTTGTACTCTGGCCACCAGTTCAAGTGGCAGATCCATCGATAGATGTGCAGCCTTAAAGCAAATACGTATTCTTGCTAGTTATACATTAGCGGAGACATTCATTTTAGAAGCTTAGATAAACATGGCACGGATGCTGGCTCGATTTACACACTGTATTCAGTCATCTCCAGCCAGATGCTGTTATTAACGTTCGCGCTATGAAAATTATACGTATATTTGGCCTGAGCTATTGATTATAGTGTTGGCATATTGATCCACCAACCTTGATACCGAACTTGGGGTGCCGATAAATGACTGTGACCCTCAGGCGTAGGTCGGCTGGAACGAAATCTTTACGTGGAGATATACTTGTCTCCAATAGCGTTTTAGCCTCACAGGAGGTCAGGTTAAACTCGAGCGGATTTGCAATAAATGCTGAACCGGGTAAAACCAAGATCCGAGTTTCGAGCGGCGCACAATTTGTCGCTGGTTCAACTGTTATCTGTACGGTTTGAGTAGGAAATCCTTGCTGCGTTCACAAAGCAGGAGAAATATTACCTTACTTACAGCTCACTATTAAGATATCCATATTTATTGCAATCATATAAATAAATTTCTCACGGCTTTCGGAATGTGTCTTATTTATTATTCAACCGTGAAGATAGTTACTGGTCGTTTGAGCACTGTTTGCACTTATAGCTGTTGCATTTAGCAATTCAAGAACCGGTCAATTTAATCATTAATCGGAATTTTTTAAATTGTCAGATTTTTTAGGAACAAGTGTCTTTATGACGACTACAACATTTGGGTGATATCGAATCGGGTAGCACAAATCCTGTAGACATTAAAAAATCATCTACGAATATGTGATTTTCGCTATACATTACCTGCATTTGCAGCCCTCCCAGCGTTGCAGTTAGATGCAGGGTCGTGTTTGACGATTCCTCGATGTTTAAAACTGTATACCGGAATTCCAAATAATTTGAATAGCATATTATATTTGTTGACGAAAAAGACATATGAACAGTAAACGTTAAGGGAAACTTCACTATGGTAACACTGGTGATAACGAGGCATGGCGTGTTTCCATCTAGATGAAAAGTAACATAGAGAGAGTAGAGTTGAAAGGACGGTGTCCTTACATATTTCGTAGTATTATTATTATTATCGTGAAAAAAAGCTGTGACGGTGTATAACTTAGACTCCAGTACGCCCGGTAACTTGTTAACACGAAAGGCGCAATATTAGAGAGGAATAACGCCAGATATTAGGAAGGTACAAATACTCTGCAGACAACGATCTAAGATGCAGGTTTAGTTGTATACGTTACGGTACAAGCTGTATCTGTAGGACTTATGAAGGTACATACATATCGAGCCTTTTTGAAAATTTCGCATAGGCATTAGGCGTACTATCCAAAAACTACGAAACAATCGATTAACTAACCTCCGGACGCAATTGCGTGAAGTTTTTTCAGTTCATTGGGATCTTGAGGAAGTTCGCGACGTTCTGGGGCTGCGGCTACAAACAGCGAGGGTGATGTGCCCAAGTAGCAGAGACGAAGGGCAGAATTATCACCCAGAAGAACGATGACACCCTTTTGAAGAGGAACTCCGTTAAAAAACAAAGTTGTTGCTCATATATGTATTTTCTTCTTGCTGTCGTTTCCTAGCTCTGACATCCCGAGATAGCTCAGTAGGTAACGTATTTGCGTGTTAATTTTAGAAACATATTGTGGCCTAGGTTCAAACTGGGCATAGACACACTCTGTTTCGTGGTGGGACCCTGCCGTCTGATGGAATGTTTAACGACGATACGAGACGTAAAATACGAAACATAGAGCTCTGAGGCAAAATCTACCCTACCGCATAGATTAACGTCGGCGCTTTGAAAAAATGTGAGTCCGATTTTACATAATAGGTCATATTTGAACATTACAGCATAGTCAATAGCTTGTTTTTTTTATAGGAAATTTGGACCAATTTTGTACTATTCTTTGTCTGTAGCGAAATTACTGGTGTCTATCAAGTAACTACATGCGCCTTGTTCAGGCTTCACTATTTCCACTACATTTAACTTCTTTAAACGGAATGGATTGCAAGACCTAATATCTAGACATGGCGCTCAAACTTTCTATCTTTGCCGAAATCGGCTAATACTATTCAGCTGAACGTCTTTACCTTCAAAAAATTAGATCGTTAAAATCGATCAATATATGCCAGATATCTCACAACGCAGGTAACATGAATTTGTAGTTAATTCATTTATTATATAAAAATAGGTTACCATTTATGAAATAGAACTAGAATTCTATGTGTGATAGAAATGTATTGCGTAGGATAGGTCTGTTTCTGAAAAAAAGAAGCCAGATTACAGTCGCCCTGTTCTCTGGTTCACAGTCCAACATTTTTAAGCTACAGGTCTAGGTAGCACCAACCTGCAGCCGCATCTGTTTTACGTCTTACTCGATTAATATATTAATATACTGTTAATATTGAAAATATTTTTATGACAAATGCAAAAATACTTCAGTACTATTATCATTTTCTTTAATTGCTACTTTGTTTCTCTCGGATAATAGAGAAATAATAAGCGAATTCATTGCCCTCACACATTGGAACCTGATTTAGGCACATGCTCGCGGGAAAAACCAATTAAACTAAAATCTCATTTTCAGCTATATTTACGATATGATGTAAAAATGATAACTGCAATGCTTTAGAACCATACGGTCTTCTCTAACAAAAATTAAAAAAATTGCGTGCCCTGTGCAGGGCTTACTGTCTATAGCTACAATAAAACATTGTTAGTAACAAGTAATTAAGCACATTTACTCCAATATACATAACGTAGGCCGCCTGGAGCATGACCATAATAGAAATGAACTGAGTAAGAGTTTTGATATGTGACGCGTGGGTGTCACACTAAATAGCAATGTCTGCTCACCTTTAGAAAGCTAAGATCTGCTCGAAAAATTGAGATTATTCCCGAAGAGTCGTCCACCTGCGCTGCCCATCGCAAAGACGTTTTTTCGTAAACAAGAACTGTGTTGTTTTGGGAGACGACCATAGTCCACAAGAATGGATCCTTTGGATCTGGTTAAAGTGGTAAAATCAATACGCTTCATTGTTATGTTAAGAATGATTTCTCAAAGATTGACACACATGTGATTCCTGATAATGATTCACCTGAATTGATTCGAAGAGGCTACTAACGTCCTGTAATTATTAAGTTTTCTAGACAAATTTCAGTTTGGGTGATTTTTCTCAAAAGTGATGATATTGATGATGGGTGTCGCTTATCAAATATGTTTGTTAGTTTCTTATTCCATACGTGTAATACTTTTTAATTATCAGCGAAGCCTATATTGCAAAACCCGAGGCGTTTAATTGCGTAAATCCCTCGTATGGTTTCGCCAAATGCACCCATTTATTTTATGCATTCCCTTTGAAAAAATTCGAACTTTTACTTTGTGTACTATACTAAAATGTTCCGCTACCGCAATACATAATTGATTTCGATTTTGCTTACCTCTTTGATATACGTGGAAGCATCGAGGGTTGAAATCAAACCTTTTCGTATATACCAACTCTGCGTTACTCTTTAATACAAACATTGTTTGTTCGCCTGAAGGGGCAAAGGTATACACAAGTATAAAAAACATCTAGCTAAAAAGAAATTTCGATATTACAATAACAACAACGAATAATATATACATTTAAATGTACGTTCTTCTCATATATCATTTCATTGCTCTTAATATGATGTTTTTATATTTCATGTTTATATGCCTACATACAGGCTAATCAAAGGAAGCTTCTTTCTGAGCGGTAAACAGAGTATCATTTCGAAAGTGTAATAGTACCGTCTGAGCTGAATACTTAGACTTCCGTTCTTTTACTACTCTGTTCCTTACCATCCTGGTAGCCTCACTTAATGCGAACAGACTTTCAACTGGACTGATTTAAATTCATTAAAAGATTTTACTTTTGATTAGATTGGAATCTGCAGATGATGACAAAGGAACGCAGCTGTTTACGACGCCACAGAAAGGGTGCATGTCATATGGTTCATATCACACTATAGTTAATATAGTTACTCGAATTTCTGAGCATGGAACGAAGCCATAAGGTTATTAGTGTAAAGTTTTGTGATCAGCTCACTCACCAAAAATTATTGAAATCAATTTTGTATTTTGTCGGTAATATCCGGGTAAGATAGATATGGGTTGTTAGGAATAAACTGAAGCAATTTTTGGGACGTATATATTCACCTGCTATTTTTGACACTTCAATAAAAAATTTTTTTTGACTAAAACCTTAAATTGATAACAAATTTGAGGATATACGGCTTCTGGAAAACCTGAAAAATATTTCTATTTTCTCAAAATCGAAAATCCACAAAAGGCATTAAAAACATATCAAAAATAACACGAAAAACGTTTCTTATTAGTCCAGAATGCTTACGGTGATGTTAAATGACGTTCCTAAAATGGGATCACTTATTACCTATTAGTGGTGTAAGTAGGATAGTACGATTAGCCTTTTTTTTAAAACTTTTTGCGCCTTTTTGCACTTTTTTGGTCTTTGTCGCCTTTTTCAAGCCTTTGAGTTTTTAAAGCCTTAAGACCAACGTCAACCCAAAATTGAGATGGATTTTTTTACGTACCACGGAATGGAAAAATTAGGTCTACGCATCTGATTTTACCTGTATGTAAACTATTACAAAGATACGCCAGTTTTGCTTTAGTTATTAGTTACCGACAAACTTTTAGCTTTGCTTGACTCAGCATTTAGTGCAAACTAACTCAAGTTCAACCTGGTCGCATGTGAATCTAAAGAGGTAACGGTTGCGACACATCTGACATATGTGAGAGACTGTGCTATTAGGCTTACCTAGCGCAAACACAAGTTGTTCATCGAGCCCTTGAACTACTTGAAGGTCCGAGATACTTTCTCCTAAGGTAAGACTCCATTCGCTCTGAAAAAGACACTCAGACAATACAGCCGTGGTAATTACAACTATAACCAGTATTTTATTGAAATTTGGGAGATGGATATTCACATACAAGTCAACACAGGCAATCAGCGAATCGGCAAATCTGCCAGTCGGGAAGCACACAAACATTCTGTTTCGTTAGAGCTTATCACCCTTATAGGTTTTGTTGCTTCTTTCCATCGTTTAAATTCAGTTTAAAAGTAGCTTCCTTAATAATGCCTGTTATTCGGCAGAAATATTTTAATGTGTAATGGCTCATATAAAGATACATATATCCGCATTGACTAAAAACTAACTTGAACATTAAGAGCTACTAGTCGGGACCTACCGTGACTCGTTTCCCTCGAACCCCATGCTGCGAATCGTCAATGAGCGTTGCTGACGCAAGAACCTGGAGTTGGACGGAAGGCACTAAGCTTGCATTATTGCTACCGTTAATTGTATCTATTTCTATGAATATACCACACATCTCCTTTGCATTTCTATACAAAAAAAAGGACTAAATCACATTAGGCCCACATTCTTCAATACGTTCTAAACGGCAAAACTCCCCCTCCGCCGTCTTAGAATATAGGTTAAACTATGGGATGTGGATTATCCAATAGAAAAAGAAAGGTAGCTGCAATTATCTCTATACCACTGCAATAACTGAGCGCAATTTTATAGCAGAACTAAACTTCGGCTCCGACACGATCTCTTGCAGTCACCAACCTGGTACCGAAAAGTTTCCAGGACGAGGCTCGAGGTGACCGTCACAAACGAGTCCGTCTGCTCGATATAGACGAAGGGACCAGGCAGAAGGGCTCCAGGTAATGGCCTATCGAACGCGTGAGATTCACGGTCAAATACGCTCAGCACCCCGTCAACACTTTGTACGCCGATGAGATCAGCAGCTGTTAAATCGCAAAAAAAGGATAAGCTCAAGTGACTTATTATCAAATAAGTTATTATCATTGAGCAAGAACTCTATGCTTCCATATCAATATTTCCATGTAGAACAGATATGTATAACCAGAATGCAAGTGACAATCACATAATAAGCCTCTTATGTTATTAGAATTTATTTATATTAGACCCATTATATACTCTATGAAGCAGAAAAAGCCCGGTGAAGACAATGGACATATTGTGTCTGCGTCAGTTAGATCAAATGCTGCACACACGGGGAGCGTTTTGTATCATTTTTATGGTTTTTTTTTTTTAGATCAATGTAATCTTACATTTAGAGAAAACTTGCCTAACATATCTAACAATGGAGTAAAATGCCGGCATCTATAAAAGTCGAAATATTCTATAACTCTCTTTTGCCGAACAAGAAAAGTTATCAAGCGAAGTTGCATGGCCGCCACTCATTTGTCGGAAGGAACCTTCTTAATGATCTCCCTGGCGAAAACGCCCAGGAGCAGAGACACATCATCACAGTGTCCCTATCAGGGGAAATGATGCATTACCGTTCTAGGTATGGCTTGCTCCACGTGAGGTCTTCTTGCAGTGTAGAATCTATGTGTATACGTATCAGGCGAAGCTTCTCCCTTGTGACGTTTGCCAAATCTACTCTTAAAGCAGTCTTTTAACCAAAGCACTAGTTGGTATTTTCATTTGCTCTACAGTAAAAAAGTACAAGAATGTATGCAAATATACGTACTCATACCTCCCCCCCCCCTTTGCTTGAAGCGCTTAAGTACATGCATATAGAAAAATGACTAAACAAATATTTAACAATCTGTACCTTCGAGTTCAGATCTTTGCAACCAGCTTTGCATTCTTGCTTCCTCTTGTTCTTGTCTTGCCTATAACGCAAACGTTCTTCCTAGTAAAATTAAAAGTGACTGATAGATCTGGTCCCTTTACTCCCAGCTACAAATCGACAGTTGTCAACTAATCAGAGCTTTACAAACTTACGTTGTGTGAATACTGCGAATCTTACATGGGAAATCCAAAATGGTAGAACAGAAAATGTACACTAAATCCTCAACTCACCTTTAGCTCCTCCAAAGGGCCCTTTAGTGAGTACATAGCTGCAACGTTCAAGTTTGTGTTCGTACAGGGGCTTGATGGTAGCTTCCAATTGATTGCTAACACCCATTGCGTTTACTGAAATGGCACAAGTTATAGCGGCTATATGAAAAGATAACAGTATAAATGAGAATGTATTGAAGATCCTTCTAGAAATTATGACAAATATCTTCGCTAGTTCCTGCTTCAGGACCACAGCAATTCAGTAGTTACGAACGGTCAAAGCATAATACTATTTATGGGAAAAGATAATTTAACGTTCTGCTTTCATGGCTTACCTCGGATGGCGATGATTGCGAGCTTCCGCGGGTGCAATATACAGGCGACAAGCTCAGTAGAGTTGGATAAAAACTTGCCGAATTCAATCTGAATTAAATAAAAAAATAATTATAGTTGCGTTTTAATACGTTTAGCATGAACCGGGTGAAACTTTACCCGCAGCTCATTTCTTTATTCAGGTTTCATCAAAGGGCATAAATAAAATCATACGGTCCATTCTTAGGATCTATTTATCATGCTATAAACGTGCAGCCCTCATGGTGCAGCAGCAACGGACGCGTGTCCTTTTAGCTAACGTGTGCAGTACAGTCTTAATAGACTATACTTGGAAGCTAAGTTCAGGGCGTCGCTGTCTCGAATCCGCCACTTGACATGCATATCAATAAGATAGTGTTCGTGCTTCGGCTCCGACTCACGTTAAAGTAACAACTACTGCTGCTCAAATGAGAGAAATGAGTGTTGAATCAAGGTTAAATACGTGTTTGTGAGGCACGTTTTCCCTGGAAGACTGGAAATTGTGTTGAGATATAGAAAAGAATATGGGAAATTGTGATCTTGATTGCACCAAATCAGAAGTTTGACTTTCGAACACTTCTCTGCATTTAGGTGAGGCGTTTGTTCTGTCATAACATCACCTGTAGGATGGGCTGTTCTAGCTGTTGCTCAATGAGCAGATGTTCTGCTCGATACCCCACTAATCCTTCGACATGATATACACGCAGCAGACCCGAAAGATTGCCTGTTATTAGACAGTCTAAATACAACGAAAGACGCCACACAGGATATAGAACTGAGTCTTTAAAAGATCTAAAAAGGGCTAAATATTTAGAAAAAAAAACGTTGATCGGCGTAAGTGTCGTAAAAAATACCGGTAAAGCGATAAACACCGCATGCGGCAAACATACGTCACTCATCGACATAGTTAATGTTATCGGCAGAATAATATATATTGCAATAAAAAACTAATGAACACATTGTGAAAGGTTTTGAGTCATACGCATTTCTGAAAAATAAAAATCAGCTTCTCTATCTGTTAATCTCCTTTTAAAAACGTTGGCTCATTTTGTACGTTCTACCAAGGTAGTGAATAAATCTACAGATCTGAACTGTACTCTACGGAACATTGCACCATTCGATTTTGATATCTGCGAATCCTTTCTTCAAAAATAATTGAGCCTAACATTCTTTGTTTCCAAACCGAAAAAGTCCTTAAGCAAGGCTCTCTCGGTTGTTCGCTTTTGATTAAAGCTTCTCCATTGCTGTACCCTTCATCTTTTCATAATACCAAAATGAATTTGCAGACCACGAAACTACCAAGATAAAGAACAGGGCTCCTTTTTCCCCAGTCAGCCTCTCTACCTCAGTTCTGTTGGCGACTGAAAATATACAGAAATGTGCGATCAAATGCCCACACTCAAACCTTCCAGTATCTTTTTATATCTAGCAAAGGAAACTTTGCTCGTCGAGGTTGCCACCTGTCGTCCTGTGTTCCAGTTCGTCGTTACGATCATTACGTCAACTCGTACCAAATGTGATCAGTATTGTCGTTCACAAAGCTTGGTGAAATTATTGCACAAGGGAATTGTTGACATAGGTGTGAAAACACGGTACCTCACACCGTCTAATTTAGCTGTTAATAGGGTCATGATTATATCCGAAGACACAATACTCATATATCTACGACCAGCTGAGTATTATATACTGAGGTTGAAAGACGTGTTTTTTTCCGGAATCGGCATACAAAAAAGCGGCGGCAAAGGCGGTCCAACAGCTTCTAGCCAGTATCCGAAGGGTCACTTAAAAAAGTCCAACATAAGAGTCACCGACGGGCTTAAAACATTCACGCAAATTTAGACGTCATGGTTTATTAATATGACACTGTATTATGATAATACTTGCCTTGCAAGTAGTAAATGTTGATAAGTGGTCGTTTACTTTGACGTTCATCTTAATCTACCTATTAAAATGTATAAGGATAACCGCGTAAAAAAAAATTAACATACGCAGATGTGGGCAATTGCTCTAGAGCATGTAGGCAGCACGTTTAAACGATATGCTCCCTTGTAAGGAATAGTTTTGAAGACGACAAAGTTTCCGCATAGCGATTCACTCGAACAGTTGAGAACCGTAAAGCGATATATCAGTTAAGTTATCTGGTATTCACCAACTGGCAATCAATTAAGATGCTGGCACATCATTGTTCGACATATTAATGTTCCTAACAAACAAGGAATACTTAGCACGAATTTAGTCCATTGATTTTGATCGGAATTGGTGCAATGAGAGATAGAAAATATTTACCAAGCCCATCAATGAGCTGATAGCAGACTGCGCCGCTTCCAGAAAACTCCTCGTCGTCCGAGCCACGAGCTTCCCAGAAGTCTCGAACTTTAAACAATGACATATTTCACCTCTTGCAGGGACACTGCACCATCTATTAACTTCTGAAACGTAAGTAAAGTTGTTAGTTTGAGTTCATACAAGCATATGTGATGATTTGCAAATATTTTGCCCGAACACGCGACTTACGAAATGATTGTCAAAAATGACAAGCATCCTTCCGAAAGTGTCGTTTTTCATGGATTATTAATTTTGTAGAAAGGAGTCTGCCTATACGCATACTTTTATCGGTCCAATTATACCCGTTGTAACACAATTCGGACGATAAATATATTCTAGCCAAGCTAATCTATTTAGACGCACAAATGTTTGTGTATATACAGGCATGTAATAATTTTGTTCACCTGGAAGAAGACATTTTCCTACATTTAATATTTATAAACTTTACAAAGTCATTGTCATACTGCATTACTCTCGTGGGAGTATATCAGTAACAGCTAACTTTTTACTTTTCTCCTCTTACAGATTAGGTTGTGTAGTATGTTGGCTAATATTTTAGCCCATCACAACATTTGTTCAGGTACAATTAAATCTACACTGTTACGTGGTACTTCATTGCTAATAAAATAAACGTACATTTAATACTCGCTGGTAGAATATTTTGCTAGACAGGTGACAACTTCTGGATATAGGAGAACAGAATCCTCCGACATAGCGCTTGGTCACCATGGAGACGCAATCGGCGATGACGTACACACATGGGTGGGTTCAGAGCTGAAACAGATATGATATCGTCCTCAATGAAGTAAATGAATTAAACTGTTTGATACTTTGCGATCCAGGTATAGTCGATGTTGCTCAATTTGTAAATAATAATGTGGTTTTAATTAAGTGTCAATTACTGATTATTTTGGTATAAAAATTGTTTACCTATGTAAATCAATATTGTAATGTATGTAGCTGTATTATATATTACGATATATTAAAAATATGAATGGAGTGTTCAAAAAAGAATTACCTTGAGATGTAGTCTTTGCTGTAATTGCTGATCGTTTAATTTAATTAATTATTGGCTCAATCGATCAAGGCATCCTAATGGTGAAATTAAATAAGTCTGTCCCTAGAGCTGCAACGGCAGACAAAATAGTAAACAAATGTGCATGACTTCACTAATAGAACACCAAAAATCCTTCAGCACTATTATAATTCAACTTTCTGTCCACCAAGAAGAAGGGTTACTAGCTTGTGTCCAATCGCCCGGTTCAGCGTTTTAATGCGTTTAATCGCACAAAGCATCCTACGTCCAGCTGTTTGTGGGCGCAGGATGTAGATGGGTTGGCATTTACCGAACGTTAATTTGTTTTGGCAGTCAGGTGTTGTGAGCCTCGGCGAGACGCAAAGTGTATTTTGGTCTGTTATTGTGGCCGGAGTGCCTAATAGAGCCGGCGCGGGCTGAAGGGTTCACTTTATCTTGTCATAAAATGGAGACGAGACATCGCGTAACTAAATCATCTCGCAAAGAGCCCAATAGTGTTTCTGAGAAAGTGGATTGTACTCAACCGGATGGTAGTCGGGCTAATGCTTCCACGCTGGAACCGCTTACGTGGACACCTGCGACATTTACAGCATTCAAGGTGCTACTTTCTGCTAGACTATGCGCGGCTGTTTGGAGCAACATACAGGACTGCGACGAGACGTATAACTATTGGGAACCGACTCACTATCTCATGTACGGCCGCGGAATGCAGACATGGGAGTACAGTCCGTTATATGCCATTCGATCATACGCATACCTCTGGCTATATGCTCTGCCCGGCTTCGCGTACAGCAGCCTGTTACAAGACCAGCGAACCCTGGTGTTCTATTTTATGCGCTGTGTAATCGGCGCCGTCGAAGCAATCTGTGAGGCGTACTTTTATAAGGCGATTCGACACAAATTCGGCAAACACATCGCGAAGATTTACTTCTTGATGACGATCTTCGCCACGGGCATGTTCATTTCATCGGCGGCGTTTTTGCCTTCGAGTTTCGGCATGAAGCTTCTCATGCTTTCATACGGAGCCTGGTGGAATGATAACTGTTTCTTCGCACTATTTTCAGCTGTACTAAGTGCGCTTGTAGGGTGGCCATTCACGGGTATTTTAGTTGTGCCGATCTTCATCGACGCGCTATTGAAGGGTAGGAAATATGTAATCAATTTTATCCAATATGGGCTTCTCTCCTCCGCAGTCATAATGCCAATCGTCATCACAGTGGATAGTATATATTTTGGCAAATTGGTCTTTGCCGCGAAAAACATTGTCCTGTATAACGTGTTTAGCCCGCACGGACCGAATCTGTACGGCGTTGAGCCATTTGATTTTTACATTCGAAATGGCATTATCAACTTTAATTATGCGTTTCTAATGGCGTTGGCTGCCATTCCTCTACTAGCTATTACTAAATACTTCCGAATACCGACAGAACGTCTCGAGTACACATCGTTGTTAGGCATGTATATCTGGTTTATTATCTTTTTTAGCCAGCCGCACAAGGAAGAACGTTTCCTCTATCCGGTCTACCCTCTGGTTCTGCTGAATGCGTCTGTCTGTTCTGATCTCCTGCAACGCTGGCTACATCATCTCTTCTACCAACGCACATGCAGACACCACCTCGATCTGAATGATGCTTGGTGGCTTCTCCCCGTTATGTTTTCGTGCTTCCTCGGGATGAGTCGTTGCATTCTACTGTACAAAGCGTACAGTGCCCCTATGACCGTGTCAATGGAATTGGCCCGTATTGCCAATCGTGACGGACTGAGTGACCGGCCACTGCCCTCTCATCCTGTCTACCTTTGCGTGGGCAAAGAATGGCACCGATTTCCAGCGTCCTATTTTTTGCCTGATCGCTGGGAGCTGCAGTTTATCAAGTCGGAATTCCGCGGCCAGCTACCGAAACCTTTTAGCCTTGGGGTCAATGCTACGAGAACAATTCCCACGGAGATGAACGACGCCAACCGCGAGGAGCCTTCACGCTATCTAAGCTTATCGAAATGCCACTACCTCATGGATACCGACCGGCCGAAGGTAACCAGCCGTGAGCCAAATTTTACCAAACATTCAGATTTCGAGCTGGTTTACTCGACAGAGTTCATGGATACGGAGAACACACCGCTGATCGCGAGACTTGTGTACATACCGTTCGTGTGGGAAACTCGAACGACATTTGTCAAATACAACCTGTTGAGGAATAAGAAGAATCATATTAGTTACGAAAAATCACCGGTAACAGGAGGCTATCGGCCAAAAAGGACTAGCAGCAGTAGTAGTCCTAGGGCTGATAATAGCCGAGAAAGGGCCTAGCTAGTCTCGAATAATCTGATCATCTACAGAAGATGTCTGAGGCAAAATACTGAAACTAAGGGAGACAGGAAAGAGACATCGTAGATAGCGCAATAGTTTTGCTTAATTTGGTAGGTAACTTAACTGAGAGATAGCCTAAACGACCGGCTACTTAGATGTGTTCCATCATTGTACATTACTAAACTGGAATACTGCACAGTGGATATGCCATGTGCTGTTGATGAAAGACTAAAGTATGTATATGTAACAACGAATAGTATAAATCGCGTTTCAAATTTTAAGCTGAAACCCATAACAAATGACAGGGGATAGTCAGAAAGAGTAAGATCTGAAAAGATCTTTGCAGCAAGTTTAAAGTATCTAATAATCAGTAGGTAAAAGAAAAGCTTGTATAAATAGAAGAAATACATTTGTTGATTTTTATAGTGTGTACAAACTCTAAGTGATTTTTTAAGGATTTTTTGTCTTATCTTAATTATAATGGCAGTGTGGCCTTGAAATCATCGAAGTGGATTAATTTTCGGATCTAAAGCAATGATAAAAAATCAATTCCGACGATCAACCTTTTATTATTGTTTAATTTTCTTTTGTATTTATTTATTTGTAATAGTATATTCTTGTAAACTTGAACATTATTGTTACTTCATGTCTTTAATATAATTTTTACATAGCTTAAAGCTTTTTGCCATTAGCATCGTTCATTTACTTACACTACCTGTGTTACTTGCTTCCTATGCTTACTGCCGCATATCACAGATTTTATCAGCTTTCAAGTTGAATTTATAATAAACGACCTTCAATCCTTTACTAATTATTGACTATGAATTATAACTTTGGAAGGCCGTGAGCATCATTACACCGTGTTGCAATATTTTTTCGACGGTATTCCAAGTTGTAAGATTTTAATCTTTTTTCTTCCATTTGGAGTCATCCCTAACTTCTAACTAACGAATGGTAAGGATGGTAGAATTGATATATATGATCAGGTCTTTAAACACTAAGATTTTTTTTTATTATCTCTCTTATATTTTCCGTAATTATGGTGAAGCAATCGTGTGTCGCAGTAAAACTTCAGTCTATTTTACGTCAACAGGTATTAGTTGGAGTCTTCCGTTTCGCTTATTTTCGCTTTCCCTGTTTGTCGCAACGTCATCCACAAATCTTAGCGATAACACTAGCCATTACGCTCCTACCATGAACGCGTTGACGGGGACCATCTGACACTACGGAGTGTATGGAAAAAATAGAAGCAAAGACAGGCGAAAGAAACATGCAGACGAATCGTGCAGCTACAAGATAAGTGTGCATAGCACTAGGTCCGAACGAAATTTCAGCTCCCAGACTACTGCGAGCCTTCGCTTCTGTCACGACTCGGCGAGATAAAGTATAAGACCAGATGACTTAATTTATATATAAAATTTTATATATATTTATATAAAATAAACGGTGATATAATTGTAACTGCGTTAGGAACGTGGCTAGACGGAACTTCACTGCGATGAAGCTTGCGAGGACGTTTTTGCATTAGCTTAGAATCAATATGTGCCTACTAGCTTTAGGGACAATATGAACAAATCTAATGAATGCAAACATGGCTGTTTATGAAATATTGGTATCGTCTTGCGCAGTGCTTCTGTATTTCTTCAACTTATTTATACTTTTTAATATTTTGTCCGAACTAAACGGTCGATGGCCTAACTAGTCATTTTAATCAATCACATCTCTGCGCTTACCAAATAAAGATAAGTATCGTTTTACAAGTTTTTATGAGACAAATGGTATTTCGCATAATTTGCATTAGACATCCATGCAATTGTTTGACTGGCAAGGTTTTTCGATTCACAAACTATATACGTGCACTTTTAAAAGTAGTTCCTTTGCGACAACTGTAGATCACAATTTCGTAGATATCCCTTTTCGTAGGGCATTACATTATATAATATGGTACCTATCTTGAATCCGTTCTGTGTAGCCATCTATTCGGGTCGACCCAGCGACAGCTATCAAAAACATTCTATTTAATGGTCAAATCAGTGTTCCAGACATAGCACTCCAAGTACTGTTTTCACTTTTTTCGTCCAATTCGAAAAGAATTCCATTCTAAAAAGCAGGTTCAACGGTAAAATGTTAGCATACAAATACGAACTTCGCAAAATAACATTCGAGCCGGAATACATTTGAGTGTAGCTTTGGCTGGATTACAATACAAACATATTTGGACAGCAAATTGACTCGGAACTGGTCAGATAATGCTGTTCGTCTTGTTGTGATATAAGAACTGTTTTTGAATACGTACCTCGCCATCAGTCGATAATATTGCTGTTAATTTCATAAATAACGAAAACACAAATTCTAAATAAAAAAGAATATACTAAAATTAAATGTTGAAAGTTTTACGTTCGGCATTGCCGTCTGGCATTCGATCCAACAATCGGCTTCCAACACAAAATAAGGAAATGAACCCAGACCACCACGTGGCTCAAACATTAGTTGAAAACGTTGTTAGCTGCTAAGCTCTTTCAGAGACAATATAGTGAATCAACATCAGTCCTTCCGGAACGCTTTGCAGATACGATATTAAAAGAAAAGTATAAATATTCCATGATAAGTATGATTAAATCAGAAAAAAATTATATAGCGTTTTTGTGCTTCAAACATCCCTAAAGGGATCAATTAATGTCGTTAGATGAGTGCAAGAAATGTTGAATAACTAAGCTCAAATCAAGGGCCGTGTAATCATCTGTCGCAAAGCCAACAAATATATCAATTTAAGGGTCATCGCGATCCGAAGTTGTGAAACCAAACGTGTGACAAATCCCTCAGATTTTATATAGTCATCCAACATCATAACGTTATGATATAATTTATGCATCATATTCTATAAAAGTCGTGGTCAAAGAAGTATTTTTTGCCTAAGTTTCTACTAAACGATATATATTATTCATCTATTTCCCTTATCTCTTTAATGTCGGCCGTTTTTCAAGTTATCATCGCCTGTAAGTGCATAGTTAAACATAAATTTAGATAACGTCGGTCAATGGAAATTTTCCAAGCGCACATCTTACGCGATTCCCATTGCATCAAACTAAAACAGTTCGAGTCAGACTCTCCTCGATGTCTAACTCGGTCGCAGCCGATGTTCACATTTGACTGCCGACCTTGAACCCTAATATATTAGCTGAAGCTAACGACAATTTTTGTTGACGCTTTCGGTTGTGATCAATGAGGATATGACCGTCAACGGCGGCCTGTCGCCGAGGTGGTCTGTTGACCATAGCAGCAGCTACTGCTGTTATTAGTTCAATTCTATATCAGAATAGGCGTAAAGGTATTGACAGATGAAAAAGACAAGAAAACCGCTTTTGGGTCGTCAGTTCTTCTAGAGGCAAAGATTGATTCGGCGGTTTTTTATACGAGAAGACCCGAAATCTTTTACCATCGATGCAGAGATTTAGCTATTATTTCTGTAACACAGCGGTGGTATAGAATTTGCCAGGAGTAGCTCTACAAACATTACATCTAATGGCCAAACGGAGAGTTCGAATGCTTGTTTGTCGTCTGCCAGGGATCGAACAGGACAGCATCGACAAAAAAGCCTATTTGGACAGTACCGCTTATATACGTAGTTAAGTTCGCTGGTGAGCGACCGCAAAGGTAACGATGGTGGGAAAGGGATGTGGGAGCAGACCGGAGCTTAGGACCACGAAAAGAGCAAGGCAGCTCTTTAGCATCCACAGCACGTCCTCAATCTTTTCTCAGCGTTTCCTCAATCTTTCTCTTTTCGTGCTAGTGGCACGGCTGCGGCGGTGGCGCCGTCTAGAGTAGGGGAACTAGGGCCAGCAGTGGTGTCACAGTTGCCGAGGGACAAGGTCAACTGTATCTCGATAACGCCTCAGTCTAGCTGCGCAACGATCGTTGGACTACGAACGAAGGTTCGAACGCAGTGCCGCCGCATGTTCTATTGCCTTATGTCGCGCCTTCAGCCAGATCTACGTTAGATTATTAGTAGTGAGTTACGTTTACAGTACGCCGCACACGGACGTTACGACTACATAAGAGCATTGCTATGAAAACATGTTTTACGCGCTTTAAGGTAACTTATAACGTTTCGCTTCCCTGTCTCTTGGTGCCGAGAACAATGAAACCGGATAAAGCATCGTCTAAGCTCGCACATTCAACAGAATTAATACAATTTAACTAAAAATCGGTTGTAGCAAAGCCACCAAATTGGTAATACGCATGTATCAATATGTGGGTAACGAGCATTGTCTGTTTCTTATGCATTAAGACAACAGGTACCAAAAGAGGGATTATTAGATATTTTATTAGAACCAAACATGTTAAGGATCTATAAGAATATCATGTAAATAAAATTACATTTATATAGGTATAGTTTCGGACACGAAAAATAAAATGTCGATATGTAAAATTGATCAAGAAAATTCGAGTAGTCGTATCTCACAGGTTTATTTGGGTTTGTCGTTATCCTGAAAGCAGCCCAATATTCCGATCTTAATAGCTCATAGTCAAAACCGATCTGAGTAGAGCGCATTCTTGTATTGTGCTGTTAAGTAAAACAACTCTGCATGAAATCCTTTGTTTGTCAGGGGTAACAGCTAAGGAGAATTTCTCGTCCTGTAACTGGTTAGAGGTGTCTGAATAAAAATGTTGTTAAAATATGTGCTGCATGTCATGTCACGAATACGGAATATGCAAAAAATGTTATCTTGTAGAATAATCAATAATTACCACTATTAGCAGTAGAGAAAATGGAGCTAATAATTGTAATTCATAAGGTACCAATAGCCTTTCTACTATTGAAAATGTTTGAAGCTGTCCGAATGTTGGGAAGAGTAGGAGACATAATAAAAAGTAAGCGCCATCCTCCGCGATCTCTCAAAGACCAAAGAATATAATTAGCAGGTGAAGAAGACCGAAGCGTCTAACGCCAATCTGGTCTTCGTACCAAGCCTGCTATGATTCTATGTTAGAGCTGAATTGCCTTCTCAGGGGCGGAAGCAATAGTTTACGATAGTATGATCTGGATTTGTCCTTAGATTTATGCTTCCCTTTTATTTGAAATGTTTTTTTCATTTTCTGGCCCTCATTTACACAGGTTACATATACTGTATATCAACATCAGAATTAGTGTTCTTTTTGGAGGAGTATATATATATATATATATATATATATATATATATATATGTAGGAAATTTCCGTAATGTGCTCCTATGATGAATTTTTTGAATTCTTTACAAAAGTAAGCGCTTTTTCCAATTTGTCGCTCAACTTGTTTACGCAATTTGTTGCAAATTTCAATGTTGTTTAGTTTAGGTACTTCTAGTATGACAAACATGAACGTGTATATGTTGATGGAACCCAGCTTGAGCCCCTTACTACACTTATTCTATGGTATAAATTTCTGTTTATTTGAATTGTATCTTTTTCATTCAGAAATCATAATAAACTGTGATAAATGCTTATGCGGATGCGTTAGCACATATGCGATAAGCCACGGGCCAACTAAAAAGTCGACCTGGCAGAACACACAAAGCTTGGCAGACATTTGAAGCCACTATCGCCAGGTAGCTATCTAATGGCAGCAGAACTCTACAGAAAATATTGTAACAGCTATGTTCAGTTTATGTTGCTACCTCACCTTAAATTTTTGGAGAAGACTAACCTAAATGTCAACTGCCAAATTTTGGCGAGCTACGCCTTCTCGCTTGTCTCCGACACGACTGGTTTCGCGAAAGGCTCGCCACTGAATGCTACCTTCAAAGAAATCTATGCACTAACATGAGAGGCGTGTTTAACTGTAGCGTTACATTGTTTTTTTCGTTAACGGAGGTTGTGTCCGAGCTAACAGCTTATTGTGTGTAGGGTTATAGCGGTCCTGGTGCCTAAATACAACAACCGTCCATGGCATCGGACTGTTGGCGGTATTCCTACATCCGCTCCCAATAGTTTTTCTAGCGCTACTCTGGGTTGAACAAAAAAAGCGGCAACAGACTTTGATCGTTAGCCGGTTCTCGTGAATGTTGTGATGAACGAGTGGAAAGCAACCAAAGCAAAAGGATCAGAACGAAAAAGAAAGAAGCAGTACTAGCGACGTGCAGCTTCCTGCATTCGAAATTATCATACAAATGAGCTTTTAAAGTGAGCTTAAGGACTACTATACCAGCGGCGTTCCTGTCATCGCCTGGGTCGTGCTGGGTAGAGGCCACTGCAGCCCCGTCAACATGCCTTGACCCTGCTCTGTCTGCCCAATAGCTCCTGTCTTTTCCATCTCAGCGAACTGCTAGAGAAAAACTAGGATCTCCAGGACGTTCTGGATCTTACGGGCAGTGATGCTGCTCTAGTGAGTGCTGCTCCAGTGAGCCCGTGCTTAACATACCAGCTCGACTCTATCTAGGCCCTCGACACGTTCTGATACGTTTCATTACGTCGCTGTTGCATCGTTGCCCTTATCATTCCTAACCGCTATTACTATCTATGGTTTGGCAAGTTCCAGGGTTCATTGTGAGTATTCATTTTCCTATTAGCGGACCTAACTGGTGTTTTAGACGGCCATGGCTGAAATAGGTTCATTTTATTATCTAAGGTAGTCGCCGAAGGTCAGAGGGTGGACTAACGGCGGTGGTAACTGGAACGAAACTCACGTAGCGCGAATGGTACCGCAATCGATGCTACTAGTGTTGTGCTTTTTCCGAGTAAAGCACGGATTCATCTGTGCTTGTGTACCTACCAATGCAGGATCGAATATCTTCGAGCAATGCACATAGCAGAATACATGAACATGCGCTGGATACATGGGAATGAGCTGGATAGTACGCTGTATCTAGATATTTATAAAAAGCACGTTGATAGATATCGCTCTTGATTTTTTTTCGGTATACTTCGCGGTTAATGCTTACACCTTTATTTAAAACATACAAAATTTTGCTCAAGCAATAGTATTTGACTAAACATAGGACATATATCATAATGGCAACTACGTCTTTTAACATTGATGAAAAAAGGTCAAGTAGTTATTCACCATATCTAGAACAAATTATTTCAATTATTTTGAAATTAGTATATGCATATATATATATATATATATAAAGGTGGACCATGTCGTAAAAGTTAACAAACTGACAGACCCTATTCGATTAACATCCTAGCACTAAAAGAAAATGATGAAAAAAGCATTGTTAATTGAACGATCCATTTTTGTAACGATCTTTGCCGTCACATTATTTCAAGATCTATTTATTCAAGCTAATTGAATATTTGAACATTCCAAGCAATTGCAAGAAGAGATGTCAGTTGCCTTGAAGATTAATCAACCCACTTTTCCCGAAGAATCCCAGTCTCTGCATAACGAATTTTTGCTTGCATGCTAACACACAATAATAATAATAATTGGTTCCACACTTATTTAGATCACTGGGATTTAGGGATATT